TATGAAACATCTTCATAATGATACATTTCACATATTCAAAATACTTTTATATATTAACATTACCAGTTCTGGATCATATTTTTCCTGATAAGATGCACTAAGATACCATTTCACTTCTGTGGTATTCCTGCCAGAAATGCATAACCTTAACTTTATCAAGAAAAAAAATCAGAAAACCCAAACTGAAAGACATTCTACAAAATAAATTGGCCCAAACTCTTGAAAAATTTTAAAATCATCCTATATAATAAAAACCTAATGTGCTAAGTGTCAGGTCAACCAGTTGGCCTTTCAACCAATCAAAGCCTAATATGCTAAGGCTGCTCAACCACTTGCTATTAGTGCACTGACCACCAGGGGGCAGACGCTCTGACCAGTAGGTTAGCTTGCTGCTGGGGTCTGGCTGATTGGGACTGAGCAAGAGAGCTAGACACGCCCTGGAGCCCTCCCACGGTCCTTCCCCAGCTGGCCAATGTCCTGCGTCCCTCCCCAGTGGGGTCCCTCGGCCTGGCATGTGTCCTCTCACAATCCATGACCCCTCAGGGGATGTTGGAAAGTCGGTTCCAGCCCGATCCCGCAGGCCAGGCCGAGGGACCCTACTGGTGCATGAATTTGTGCACGAATTTGTGCACCAGGCCTCTAGAATAAGATAAAGACTGAAAAACTGTTTCAAATTATAGTAGGCTAAAGATACAAAACAACTAAACGTAACAAGTGATCATGAATAGGATCCTGAACAAAAATAATAATAATTATTATTATTTTGCTATAAAGGACATTAGTGGAATAACTGGCAAAACTGAATAAGATCTATAGATTAAACAATACTGTATCAAAATGTTAACGTCCTGATTTTGATCATGGCAATTACATAAGAGAATTTCATTGTTTTTAGGAAGTGTACATTGAAGTATTTATGGGTAGAGAATTATATCTACAGTTTAATCTCAAAGGGTTAAATATTATATAGATAAATAGTATAGAGCAAAATAAAATGATAAAGTTGAATGTGGCAAAAGAACAAAATTTGGGCGAAAGGTATCTAAGAATCCTTAGCACGGTTATTGAACACTACAGGCCTGGTGCACAAATTTGTGTATGGGTGAGATCCGGCCAATTGGAGCCGATAAGGCCAGCCTGGCTGAGGGGAGGATGCGGGAGGTTGGCCAGCCAGCCCCACCCCCTGGTTGAACTGATGGAACTCCCAGTCAAGGGGATAATTTGCATATTAGCCTTTTATTACATAGGATTTCTGTAAATTTGACATTATTGCAAAACAAAACTTCTAAACAAAACTAATGGGGGGAGGGAACATAGCAAATAATCACATGAAAAAATGCTCAATATCATTAGCAATCAAGAAAAATGCAAATTAAAACTATAATGAGATACCACTAAATTAAATCTCTTAAAATAGCTAATATGTAAAAGCAAAAAAGAAAAATGTGTCAATACCAAGTGTTGAAGAAAATGTGGGGCAACTGAAACTCTCAAACATTACCAAAGTGAATGCAAAATGATAGTCACTTTATAAGAAACTTCCAAATTTTTTCCAAAGTTAAACATTCACTGACCACATGACCAAACAATCCTAAGCATTAACCCAAGAGAAATACTTATATTCAGACAAAACCTGCATTCAAATGTTTGTAGCAATTTATTCATAATCATCAAACACTGAAAATAACTCAAATGTCTAACACCTAGTAAGTGGGTAAACTGTGGCATATTCATATAATGGAACATTACTTAGCAATAAAAAGGAATAAATTAGTGATATATGTCACAGTGTGAATCTCAAAAGCATTATGCTAAGAAAAAGAAGTTAGTCTAGAAGATTACATGTACATATATATTTATGACATTCTGCAAAAAAAGCAAACTACAGGGATCAAAACAGATCAGTGGTTGTCAAGGGTAATGGGAGGGCAGGAAAGAGTAATTAAAAATAGGCAGCATAATAGAATTTTAAGGGATGATGGAATTGTTCGGCGTCTTGATTGTTGTTGCCATTACACAATTTTATGCAAACATCAAAACCATAGAACTATACACTAAAAATAATAAAGTTTACATAAATTTTTAAGAATTATATTTTTAAGTTCACAAAGAAAAAAGTACTCTCAAAGACATCTTATTTTATTATCATCCCAAGAAAGAGTAGTTATGTACTATTATTCCCATTTTATAAGTGAGTAAATTGAAGCATTCAGTAAATAAATGAACATACAAATTACACGTGCCAGGATTAAAAATAGTCCAAATACACTGATTCTAAACAAAAGTTTTATTCTCTTAATTTTCTCATGTTCCACCAAACTGTATGTGCCAAAATGTCCCTAAACACAAATAGGATCGAAGGGAGGAAGGGGGAAAAAAAGACAGGTATTGAAAGTGTACCCTTCAGAATTTGGCTTTTGTCCTCAAGGACTTAAAAAATAGTCCATAATAAAAATAAAAATAGTCCATAATTGAAGAAGTCTGAATAGTGATCCATAGGCAACAAATTCACTGGCATTAAAAGATTAGCTGGAGCCCAGGAGGCATGACTCAGTGGTTGAGCATTGACCTATGAACCAGGAGGTCACAGTTCAATTCCAGTCAGAGCACATGCCCAGGTTGCTGGCTCGATCCCATGCAGGAGGCAACCGATCAATGATTCTCTCTCATCATTGATGTTTCTCTCTCTCTCTCCCTCTCCCTTCCTCTCTGAAATCAATAAAAAAAAAAAAAATTTTTTTTAAAGAAAAGATTAGCTGGAAATTTCTTCCATAAAATCTTAACATCTTAACACTAATAAAAAGCAAAAAAGCAAACAAAATATTCTGCCTGGTCTTCAAACCAAAATCAAGAACAACAATGATGATGACAATTCAGAACAGATTTTACAACTTTAAATATATATTTAAAGATATTTCCAGAGGCTATCACCCAAGGATGTAAAATGAGGTGGAAACCTTTAAAAATACCTTTTTGATTTCTGAATCAAAGAATAGCAGTATAACATCTGCCAAAGAACATACTTTAGGTATACAGTTTGTGGGAATAAGAGGAACTAAGCTTAGTTTCTTTTTAAAAATATTTTTATTAGGAGGACATTCAGAAAGCCAAGAGACATATGAAAACATGCTCAAAGTCACTAATCATCCGAGAGATGCAAATCAAAACAACAATGAGGTACCATCTCACACCTGTCAGACTGGCTATCATCAACAAATCAACAAACGACAAGTGCTGGAGAGGATGTGGAGAAAAAGGAACACTTGTGCACTGCTGGTGGGAATGCAGACTGGTGCAGCCACTATGGAAGACAGTATGGAGTTTCCTTAAAAAACTGAAAATGGAACTCCCATTTGACCCTGTGATCCCACTTCTAGGAATATATCCCAAGAAACCAGAAACACCAATCAGAAAGGATATATGCACCCCTATGTTCATAGCAGCACAATTCACCATAGCTAAGATCTGGAAACAACCTAAGTGCCCATCAGTAGATGAATGGATTAGAAAACTGTGGTACATCTACACGATGGAATACTATGCTGCTCTAAAAAGGAAGGAACTCTTACCATTTGCAACGTCATGGATGGAACTGGAGAGCATTATGCTAAGTGAAATAAGCCAGTCAATGAAGGAAAAATACCACATGATCTCACTCATTCATGGATAATAGAGACCATTATAAACTTTTGAACAATAATAGATACAGAGGCAGAGCTGCCTCAAACAGATTGTCAAACTGCAGCAGGAAGGCCGGGGAGGGTTGCGGGGCAGGAGGTAGGGGGGTAAGAGATCAACTAAAGGACTTGTATGCATGCATATAAGCATAACCAGTGGACATAAGACATTGGGGGGTAGGGGAGGCTAGGGGACTGTCTAGGGCGGGGGGATAAAATGGACACATATGTAATACCCTTTGTAATACTTTAAGCAATAAAAAATAAAAAAAAAAAAGAAAAGAAAAGGAACTAAATGAAATAGAGGCAAGCAGTTTGTCAGATAAATAAAAGTAATGGTTATAAAAGTGTTTGAACAACTTAGCTAGAACTACAAGCAGCTTAGTAATAACATTGTGGAAATTAATGAGAACTACAGCAGCATAAATAAGGCAGAAACCATCAATACGAATCAAGCAGAAATGAAGAATGACATAGCTGAAATGAAAAAATAGCCTGAAAGGAATCATCTAGTAGACTCGTAGAACTGAAGGACTGAATCAGTGAATTAGAAGACAAGGTAAGAAAAAAACACCCATTCAATTGGGAAAAAAATTAAAGTGTGAGAGACAAATGGGGCTTTGAGACAACATGAAATGTAACAACATTTGCATCATGGGGTTTCAGAAGAAGAAGAATCTGAATAAGGAATAGAGAACCTTTTTGAAGAAATAATGCCAGAAAATTTTCCTAACCTGGTGAAGAGAAAGTCACTCAACTTTAGGAAACACAGAGAGTCCCAAACAAGATGAACCCCAAAAGACCCACACCTAAGCACATAATAATTAAAATGGCAAACATTAAAGACGAAAAAAGAATTTTAAAGGCTGCAAGAGAGAGACAGAAAGGTATTTGCAAAGGAGCTCAATGAGATTTCCAGCTGATTTCTCAATAAAAACACTTTATGCCGGAAGGAAGTGGCATGACGTATACAAAATAATAAAAAGTAAGAGACTGAATTCAAGACTATGATTTCAGCAAAGATACCATTCAAAATTAAAGGTGAAATAAAGTGATTTGCAGACAAAAAAAAAAATATATTTTTATTGATTTCAGAGAGAAAGGGAGAATGAGAGAGAGATAAAAACATTAATGATGAGAGAAAATCAACCGGCTGCCTCCTGCACATCCCACACTAAGAATTGAGTCTGCAACCTGGCATGTGCCCTGACCTCCTGGTTCAAAGATCAACACTCAAGCCATGCTAACAGGCTTAAACTTAGTTTCTTTAGAAAAATAATTGAAATAAAAAGTTGCGTCTGTACCACAAATAGCATATCTCACCTAAAAACAGTGGCGTGGTTTCCTCTAACGTAGTTGCATTAGGATCTGCCCCAGCTTCTAAAAGAATCTGTACGATCTTCCAATGTCCTCGACGTGCAGCAAAATGTAATGCAGAGAAGCCCTCAAAAGTCTTTCTCCTAATGTAGTCTTCGGATGAATCTATGAAAAAATAAAAAACCATCACCTAGAAGATATCAATTCTATTTCTTGGAATTAAAAAGCAAAAAATCTCCAATAAATATTAAAACAACTAGAGGTCCAGTGCACGAGATTCGTGCACTCAGCGGGTTCCCTCAGCCCAGCCTGTGCCCTTTTGCAGTCTGGGAGCCCTCAGGGATGTCCGACTGCCATGGAGGCAGGAGAGGCTCCTGCCACTGCTGCTGTGCTCGCCAGCCATGAGCCAGGCTTCTGATTGAGCAGTGCTCCCCCAGTGGGAGTGCACTGACCACCAGGGGGCAGCTCCTGCATTGTGCGTCTGCCACCTGGTGGTCAATGCTCGTCATAGCAATCAGTCGTTCTGTTCTTTGGTTGATTTGCATATTAGCCTTTTATTATATAGGATTATAGATGGGAGGGCTCATAGTTTAAAACTCTTCTAAAAGAGTCAAAACAAGTTTTACAGGGGCCATAGTGTAAACAGGTCTCTGGTATTCTTTACACATAACTTTGGCCCACTCACTCATTTTCTCATCTTTAATTTTTGATGGGTAAAGGAAAGAGAGTGGCAGGAGTTGAAAGGTAACCTAAATGCAAAATCTGGAGCGGATACACTGAAGATTTGCTTAAGCAAGATTTACTGAAGTATTAATAAATTTGATTTTTTTATTTCTAAATTTCCATGAGAGAAATGATCTCATCTCTATTACTTCCTAGCTATTCAAATAGTAACATTGAGGTAATTTAAAACATTCCACCGAAGCAGTGGGAAAAACTTTAATTCAAAAAGATATATGCATCCTATGTTCACTGCAGCATATTTACAATAGCCAAGGTATGGAAACAACCCAAGTGTCACTGGTGGATGAATGGACAATGAAGATGTGGCAGTATGTGCGCACGCGCGCGCACACACACACACACACACACACACACACAATGTAATACTATGCAGCCATAAAAAAGAAGAAATGTTGTCATTTGTGACAACATGAATGGACTTTCACGGTATTATGCTAAATGAAATAACAGAGACACCATACAATTTTACTTACAAGTGAAATCTTAAAAACAAAATAAATGAACAAACAAAACAACAAAACATACACACAAAAAACTTATGAATACAAAGAACAGATTACTGGTTGCCAGAGGGGAGAGGGATTTGGGATGGGCAAAACAGGTGAAAGAGACCAAGGGGGATAAATTTCCAGTTATAAAATAAGTAAGTCATAGGAATGGAATGCAAAATACAAAACATAAAAAAAACAAACTCCTTTTCTAACCTAAGACTACAGTCTAATAGTTAATGAAGATTGAATTTCCAAAATAAAATGCACTCCAACCGGGCTGGCGTGGCTCAGTGGTTGAGCATCAATCTATGAACCAGGAGGTCATGGTTCAATTCCCACTCAGGGCACATGCCCAGGTTGCAGGCTCAATCCCCAGTGGAGGCAGCCAATCAATAATTCTCTCTCATCATTGATGTTTTTATCTCTCTCTCCCTCTCCCTTCTTCTCTGAAATCAATAAAAATTGTTTTTGTTTTAATTTTTTAAATGAGCCCGCAGTGTCTTGTAGATCCAGAAAATTTTAAAGTGCTAAAAAAATGGAGTTATGTCAAACAAACACAGGAGCCAGTATGAAAGAGCACTCAATGATCAAGGTAAAATAATATGTGCAAAAAAATTCAATTACATTATATTGGATTGTCACCCAATGTATAAAATAAATATTCATGAGTCCATGCATATGTAAATGACTGAATAAATGGAAGAGAAGATATATCCAAATATTAGAAATTTTCCAAATAAATTATTTAAATTCTCCCCCTAAAGGAAAGGTGTTTAATTCCCACCTCAGTGAGGACCAACTTTAGTGATGTGCACACACACACCCACATCTTAAGAAAGAGAAATGAAACCTCCTGTGCAATTATCTATGGAGTAAAGAAAAGGCACTTCTCACTCAGGATGAGAAACAGTAAAGGCAGTTTACTACTACTAAATTGAGATATTAAAATAATAAATATATATATATATATATATATATATATATATATATATATATATATATGCTACTAGTATTTAGCTACCTCTAAAACCACTGGGCCAGGAAAGTAACATGACTTAGGAAAGGCAATGGATTTGGAATTGGAAGACTGGCTGCACTTCCAATGCTGCCATTAAAATTTGGATTTCCCTTTGGGTAAATTACTTAAACTCTCTGAGCATGGTCCCTTAAGAATCAAACAGGGTAAAATAGCTGGTCCAACCCTGAAAGAGATTCAGTAGAATTTCAGTATTTATGTACTATCCCAGTTGTTACAAATTTGGAAAAGTCTTCAAAATACCATTTTAGGAACATTTTCAGGACCAAATATAAACTGGTTTTGGAGGTTCCGATGACCAACTGCCCTCCTTCATTGATATGTGGAGACCAAAGAGACTTTATCTGGTACTGAACCATGAACCACCACCCTCTCACTCTCTTCCTTTCCCTACAAGAGGGATTCTTAGAAAAAATGACTCATAGCCTCTATTTCCTTCTCATTGAAAGGCCAAAGCAGTTTCTGCTTCTATTCTCCTTACTGAAATTGTAAATGGTAAGGTCATTAAATATTTCCTAATAGAAAAACCCAAAGGGCACTTAAGTTCTTTTATGACAACTCATGAGTTCTTTTTTGGCTGCACTTTGAGGACTGGGGCCATGTCAGCTGGTCCAATGCCAGCCACTGACCCCTGTGCCAAAATGACAAGGTATTCACAGCCCTGTTTCCTGAGACAAAGTGTCCTTTTACTTATAAACAATAAACTTGCTTACTTGTTTAAATGATAGGTGGTAGGTTTTCATTTTGTTTTCTGCAAACCCCTAAGAGGGAAAGCAAAACCACATGGTTTTAAGTAGAGGTTAAATCTTTAGGTAGAGATTAACAGGGGTAAAATATTAAGATCAAAACCTTATCTCGCCAGTTGAAACACAATTTAATGAAGCCAAATACATTTAAGATGTGCCAATCACAAAGGGTGATAGATAAATGTCAATTTCAGATAGATTTGTAGTCAAGCACTTTGCACAATGTACATCATTTCATTATGTTTTATTTAGAAAACATTAGATATAAAACAATTTCCACAAGGAATTTCATGTGCAAAATTCTTAGACACTGTTTAAGACATTTCATCATGTATTTAAGATAAAGGGGAAAAGTGAATGAAAAGGAAGAGATCTGAATGCATTACAAAGAAATTAAATACAACTTAAAAATTAAAATCTAGGATAAAAGTAAAATATCTGAAACACATATAACAGCAAAGACAATCCAGAATATATAAAAATCTCTTTAAGGTGCCTCGTTAGCGCTGTAGGTAGCGCGTCAGTCTCATAAAAATCTCTTTAAATATATGGCATGCCTAAACTTCCAAAGAGAAAGCCTGCTTGAAAATACAGTCACCATAGAGAAAAGCAGGGGTGAAAGAAAGGGAGACCTGGAGGCCTAACGACGTCATTCTGAGTACTAGCATCCAGCAATGCCTGCACAGACCTACCACGCAGGCTTAACATTTACATGAGCTACTCTACTGCATTCCCTTCTATTGTGTAAACTAGTTTAAACTTAGGTTCTGATTAATATTGCAGATAATTTAGTAATATCTACCAACATTTTAACTTTGAACACTTCTTGCATTAGCAACTTCACTTCTAAACTCCATCATACAGAAATGCTCACCCCTGTGCACAAAGATAGATGACAGATAGATAGGTAGATAGATAGATAGATAGATAGATAGATAGATAGATAGATAGATAGATAGATAGATAGATAGATACAGATGATAGATACATGAAGCACCACTTATAATAGCAAACTTTTAGAAAACAAACAAAATGTCCATTAACAGGAGAATGATTAAATATTACACATCTACACTATGAAACACCATAAAACAATGCTTTTACTCAGAATGAAATGGGGAACTACTGCACAGCTTTGAGAAGAGAGATATGGTCTGACATAATACTAAGAAACCCTGCGATAATACTAAGACTAGACTGTGGAAGGATGGGGAAGAAGCACGGGCTGAACAGATTTGTTAGGATGCCAGTGCAGCAATCCTGGCAAGAGATCATGTGACCAAGGTATTAATGGTTATGGCAATGGTTAGAAATGGTGTGACTGTCTGTATACATTCAGATATTTACATACACAACATACACACATACGCACACGTGCACACACACACACACACACACACACAGATTTGCTAACTGGGAGAGGTATAAGAAAAAGGAAGGACTTAGGGATGGCCCATAGTTTCTGGCCTGAGCTGAAATGATGGAGTTTTTCTATCTTACAGATGAAGAATCTGAACCACTCAGAGATTTAAAAACCTGTCCAAGGTCACACCAATAAAATGGAGGAGTCAGGAAAACCCAGGTCCATGTGAACACAACTCTTAACCACTATGCTACGCTGCTTTGTTTATCTAAGGATCGTTAGTATCTGTTATCATGGTCAATATGAAAGCATATTTTCTTAACATGAACTAATAAAAAATACTAAGAATTAGATGATATATTTGCCAAATTAAAATATTTGTTAGTGATATGCTATAATTAATTACAAAACTTTAAGTGACCTTTAGTCAGCAAATGGTTTAATACTGAGTGACATGATGAACTGCAGCTAAAGAGTTTTACGGCCCTCCAAGATAATAAGCTTCTTGAAATCTCATTATCTACGACACCAAACTTCCAACACAGAAAAATAAAGACAAGCAAATTTGTTATTTGTACTAACACTTTAAACAAAGCAAAGTGAAAAATACATACATATGCATATTAAATTTCTATATTCTTCTCCAACTTGAATGAGAAGACCAAGATTCTTGGACTAGTTTCTGGATCTAAATTAAAGACAGTAAAGCAAAACCTTTCTAATCATTTCAGACTCTTCCATTCTTTTTGTGTATGCCTGAGCACCTTCATAACTGTAGTGAATCTATAAAAGGTACATTTTGGGAATCTCTGCCAGTTTACTAATATTAGATGAAGTTCAAGGAAGAAGAAATTATATAAGACACTTTTTACAGGGGACAAGAGAATTATCCTATACTAGAGCCCTGGTGCACAAAATTCGTGCACTTGAGGGTCCCTCAGCCCGGCCTGCGCCTTCTCGCAGTCTGGGAGCCCTCGGGGGATGTCCGACTGCCACGGAGGTGAAAGAGGCTCCCACCACCACCGCTGCACTCACCAGCTGTGAGCCCGGCTTCTGGCTGAGCTCGCTGCCCCTTAGCGCTGCCTGATGTTGGGGAGATCACAGTATATCAGGGAATGGGCTTTTTGACAAGAAAAAAATATTCAAATTCATGCCTTCATGAGTGTCAGAATTTTCCACTAAGGCTAGTTTACTGAGCTCTTCACTCAGTAATGTGCTAGCAAATGTGTATCTGCCTCAGGAAGGGGAAAAATGCCTGGTTATATCACTGGTTTGTAGCACTGGCTGATTTCTGTGGTGTAAAAACTCCCACATAGCTGGTGTTCAGTTACAAGCATGAAGTCAACTAATACAGACTTGTAGTAGCACATGATTGCTCTCTGTCTTATGACTCTGTTTTATTTATTTTTTTACAATACTTTTCCCTTTTGCTATTATCTGTTTAGGTATTTATTGACTGTTTTCCTGACAGGAATATAAGCACCATAAAGGCAAGGATCTTGTCCATCCTGTTCTCTGTGTCTCAGCAAATACAAAGGCAAAGTAATTGGAAAGATTCCCAAACTTAAGGAAACTGTAAAGTATAAAAAAGAAAGAATAATTCAAGCAAAATACTAACACCATCAATATCAGTAACACTGCTCCTTTTGTTTGGGGAAAAAAAGAAAAACGATGACCAGAACTACCAAATGCTTAAACATAGCATTTGTGCTCAGACAATAAACAATGGGCCCGGCACAGACACTACCAAATAAAGGACAACATTTACAACCCACAGCAGGCAATCTTATCATCCTTAACAATGCACAGGCAGTTATTTTATGGCTATAAAAAGGGAAACAAATAAGCCATATATTACCATTGGTTTATGTCTTATTAATCCAGCTTGCAGGGCCCCCTTCCCATACCTTGAATTTACCTTACCTGCGTTAATTAACATCCGTAAACATTCTATAGAGTTGTGATAAGCTGCTTCATGAATTGGCATCCATCCCCTATTATCAGCAACATCAACGCTCCGTCCCTTTTTGAGCAGTTTTCTTAAGACTTGAACATTGCCTTCCCTGGCAGCAAGTCCAACCGTAGAGCATGTGTCAGAGTAAGCCTCTGAAAAATCCATTCTTTTGACCAGTCTACAAAACAAGGCAGGAAGAAAATACTAGTGTCAATAAAACACTGAACTCCAAGAGATTAGCAGATCGAAGTGGACCTGTCTAACATCCCTCACATGAGGGCTGAGGAAGAGTCTGAGATGGAGAAAGAGACCTGTCAAGCCAGAGCCTCTGCTGGTCTAACCCAGGAAGTCTCTCTGATGAATTGAGATTCCTTGGAATATTCTTATTATAGATAGCAAGGGAATTTTAAGTGTTCTATCATTCCTTCTCTGGAAATGTTGCCTGAGCAGCTCCTTCCTGCAGGCTTCTACACCTACTCATACACCCATTAAAATGTACTCACTAGAACACTGTTGATGAGAGAGAGACAGCTAAACACCTCCAGTTAATCCCAAATGCATACAGAGATGGCCATTTAGTGACCAGCAATGCTCAGCCTCAAGAATCCTATATAATAAAAGGCTAATATGCAAATTGTCTCCTAAGGAATTTGACCGGGAAACTGGGAGTTTGATCGCTCGCTATGACATGCACTGACCACCAGGGGACAGCGTGGAACATGGTGGGCGACCTGCACTGCGGCGGGGCGGCATGGTGTTGAGGGAGCGAGGGAAGGAAGGTGGAAGGCCCTGATCGACAGCCAGGCCTACGGACACTACCTGTGCATGAATTTCATTCACTGAGCCTCTAGTTAATTTATAATCTTCTATAGCTAAAAGCTAAACCCAAAAAGGTTAAAAAAGAAGTAAAGAACATTGAAAAGAACAAAGTAGGTAAATCTACTTTTCCTACCACAGGCAGTCCTTTGCAGAAGGGGCTAGAACACTCAGGTTCTCTTTCTTTGATAAAACAGTGCCACTAACTGAATATATTAAGATGCATTAAAAGCATTAAAAAAAGATGAGTTCACCTTTCCTACACAAGCCCAGAAATTTCTTCACAGCATTATTGCCCTTTTCCTCATCATCTACCTTCAAAGTTCATTTCAAGTCAATGCCCAATATAGTTCTCAATACATAACTCTCACAAAGACAATTTCTTGTTTGTCACCCTATGAGGTGGGTTGGGCTAAGATTCAGAATTCTCAGGGGACTATCTCCTAAGGCAGTGACGGCGAACCTTTTGAGCTCGGCATGTCAGCATTTTGAAAAACCCTAACTTAACTCTGGTGCCTTGTCACATAGAGAAATTTTTTTATATTTGCAACCATAGCAAAACAAAGACTTATATTTTTGATATTTATTTTATATATTTAAATGCCATTTAACAAAGAAAAATCAACCAAAAAAAAGAGTTCGCATGTCACCTCTGACACGCGTGTCATAGGTTCGCCATCACTGTCCTTAGGGATAGTCCCTCTCAGTAACATTCTGATCCCATCTTTCCTCTTAGTTTTGCTAATGATATTGGGGGATAATTCAGGAAATACCAACAACGTGTCTAGTCTGATACACGTGAAAAACTTTCTAGAACCACATAAATAATTTATCCAGAAAAGAAAGATTTGAGGAAAGAGGTTAAAAGAAACCACACAATATTTCTGATATTAAATCTAAACTTATACATGGTCACATCTACACTAATAAAAGAGAAACATGGTAATTGGTGTATGACCGCTACCCTTCTCATTGGCTAATCAGCGAGATATGCAAATTAACTGTCAGCCAAGATGGCGGCCGGCAGCCAGGCAGCTTGAAACTAACATGAGGCTTGCTTGCTTCAGTGACGGAGGAAACCAATGTTCCCCGCCTGCGCTGCAGGCCTCTGAGCCTGCAATTTAAGAAACTCTGTAACAAATACCGCCGGACTTCAGCCAGCAGGATTGCAACATTGTAAGCAAAGGCCAGAAACCTACTTTCAGCAGCGGAGGCCTAAGAGCTGGAGCCAAGCCTCAAAGCTAAAGCTGGCCCAGAATAAAAAAAAAAAAAGAAAAAAAGGAGCGGTTGGGAGCTTCAGTCACCCCCAGCCTGAAAACAGCCCTCAGCTCCTCACCCAGACTGGCCAGGCACCCCAGTGGGGACCCCCACCCTGAAGGGTGTGTGACCAGCTGCAAACAGCCATCATCCCCTCACCCAGGCTGGCCAGGCACCTGAGTGGGGACCCCCACCCTGATCCAGGACACCCTTCAGGGAAAACCAGCCAGCCCCCACCCGTGCACCAGGCCTCTACCCTATATAGTAAAAGGGTAATATGCTTCCCAGCACCGGGATCAGCGGAGCCGCGAGGATTTCCGGCACCGGGATCAGCGTGACAGGGGGCAGCGCCCAAACCCCCTGATCGCCCTGCGGCTCTGTGTGTGACAGGGTGCGGCACCCCAACCCCCCCCCCCGCCCCCCACGGGCCCTGCTCTGTGTGTGACAGGGTAGAGACATAACCTCCCCATCGGCCCTGCCCTGAGTGTGAGAGTGGCGGCGCCCCAACCCCGATCGGCCCTGCTCTGTGGGTGATAGAGGGCGGTGCCCCACCCCCTGATGGGCCCTGCTCTGTGCGTGACAGGATGGCGCCGCAACCTCCCCATCGACCCTGCCTTGAGTGTGACAGGGGACGGTGCCCCAACCCCCCAATCGGCCCTACCCTGAGCATGACTGAGGGTGGCATCACAACCTCCCAATCTCCCTGCTCTGTGCATGACAGGGGGCGGCGCCCCAAATCCCCAATCGGCCCTGCTCTGAGCCCGACCAGGGGCTGCACCTAGGGATTGGGCCTGCCCTCTGCCACCCGGGAGCAGGCCTAAGCCAGCAGGTCATTATCTCCCGAGGGGTCCCAGACTGCGAGAGGGCACAGGCCGGGCTGAGGGACCCCCCTCTCCACCCCCCCGAGTGCACAAATTTTTGTGCACCGGGCCTCTAGTTTAAATATAAAGCTGTAACTGCACAAATTGATTCTACAATGAGCCAAATAGCTAAGGTTAGCTATGGATGAATTTGATCAGGTCAACGGGCCCATTACTAGGAAAGTGAAGATATTTATTACAGAATATCTAATTACTCAGTTAACAGTTATTTACTGAGCACCAACTAGATGATTAACAATGTGGAGGATATAAAGATGATACAGACACAGATTCTACCTCAAATTATGTACAGTTACATAGAAATGATAAATACATGCGATTCTAAATAAAAAGCAGAAAGTGCCATAAGAGAAGTACAGATAAAGAGCCATAGTACTCAAAGAAGGGAGAACTACTCCAACTTGGTGAGGGATATAAGCTGGGCCTTAAAAGAAAGATGGGGAGGATTTGACAATAGGCAGAAGCAAAGACATAACAAAGCTTAGAGAAATGAACAATCGAGGTTGAATAAAGGACAGTAAATAAGAGAAACAATTATTTCACTTTGTAAGGAGGATTAGGTAAACAAAGAACAGTAGAAAAATGAGGTTATAGAAGTAACTGAAGCCAAAACTGTGGAGACTTTGGAATATTAAGCTATACTTTTTTTAACTATGTTAATTTCTAGCCAAGGCCATTACATCCAAGTTACACACACACACACACACACACACACACACACACATTTTAGGGCAATTGATAAGTATATTCATCTAATGCAGCCGTGGGCAAACTATGGCCCGTGGGCCGGATCCGGCCCATTTGAAATGAATAAAACTAAAAAAAAAAAAAGACCGTACCCTTTTATGTAATGATGTTTACTTTGAATTTATATTAGTTCACACAAACACTCCATCCATGCTTTTGTTCCAGCCCTCCGGTCCAGTTTAAGAACCCATTGTGGCCCTCGAGTCAAAAAGTTTGCCCACCCCTGATCTAATGCAAGAAAAAACATTTTGATGTAGGTCTCTCGTAGCAGTATGTTTATGGATTCATCTCCTAGGGCAAAGAGGACTACATCAAAATAAAAAGTTTCTGCACATCAAAAGAAACCATCAAGAAAACAAAAAGAGAGCCCATTGTATGGGAGAACATATTTGGTGATGATACATCTGATAAAGGGTTAATACCTAAAATATATAAGGAACTCATACAAATTAACAGAAAGAAGACAAACAATCCAATTAAATAATGGGCAAACGCCTTAGCTGTTTGGCTCAGTGGATAGTGTTGGTCCTCGGACTGAAGGGTCCTGGGTTCAATTCCAGTCAAGGGTATGTACCTCCATTGCAGGCTCGATCCCTGGCCCTGGTCAGAATGTGTGCAAGAGGCAACCAATCACTCTCTCTCTCTCTCTCTCTCTCTCTCTCTCTCTCTCTCTCTCTTTCCCTCCCTTCCACTCTCTCTAAAACTCAATGAAAAAATATCCTTGGGTGAGGATTAAAAAAAATGGGCAAAGGACCGAGACACTTCTCCAAAGTGGACATACAGATGGCCAAGAGACATATGAAAAAATGCTCAAAGTCACTGATCGTTAGAGAGATGCAAATTAAAATGACAATGAGGTATCACCTCACACCTGTCAGAATGGCTACAATCAACAAATCAACAAATGACAAGTGCTGGCGAGAATGTAGAAAAAAGGGAACCCTAGTAAACTGCTGCTGGGAGTGCAGACTGGTGTAGCCACCATGGAAAACAACATGGAGTTTCCTCAAAAAATTAAATATGGACCTGCCAAGTGACCCAATGATCCCACTTCTAGGAAACCCAAAATACCAATCAGAAAGAATGTATGCACCCCTATGTTCATAGCAGCACAATTTACAATAGCTAAAATATGGAAACAGTCCAAGTGCCCATCAGTAGATGAGTGCATAAAAAAGTTGTGTTGCATTTATATTATGCAGCAGTAAAAAAGAAGAATCTCTTACCCTTTGAGACAGCATGGAGGGGCCTGAAGAGTAATATTATGCAGCAGTAAAAAAAAAGAATCTCTTACCCTTTGAGACAGCGTGGAGGTACCTTAAGAGTATTATGCTAAGCAAAATAAGTCAGTCAGAGAAAGACAAGTATCACATGATCTCACTCATATGTGGAATCTAAGTAACAAAATAAACTGATGAACAGAGTGGATCCAGAGACATGGAAGCATGGAACAGAGTGCGGAATCACAGAGGGAAGATGGGGGAAGGGAGGGGGTGGAGGTAATCAACCAAGGACCTTGTATACATATAGTATGACCCATGAACACAGACAAGGGGGTGGTACGGGCCTGGGGTGGGGGGCAGGGTAGTCTGGAGGGATTCAATGGGGGGAAAAGGGGGCATATGTAATACTTTCCACAATAAAGAATTATTTTTTTAAAAATTTCGATGTGGGAAAACCACATACAGACACAAACAAGAACACTACTCCAGCCAAGCCAGTGTAGCTCAGTGGTTGAATGTCGACTCATGAACCAGGAGGTCACAGTTCCATTGCAGTCAGGGCACATGCCCAGGTTGCAGGCTCAATCCCCATTAGGGGGCGTGTAGGAGGCAGCCAATCAATGATTCTCTTTCATCATTGATGTTTCTATCTCTCTCCCTCTCCCTTCCTCTCTCTGAAATCAATAAAAACATTATTTTTTTTTAATCTCAGAGGAAAGGTGGGGGTGGGAGAGGTGGGGAGAAATTAACCAGGGAACTTATATGCATATATGCATAGCCCATGGACACAAATAATAATGTGGTGAGGGCATGGGAAGGGTGGGTAGGAGGTGAGGGGGTCAATGGGAAAAAAGGGGGGGAGGGACATCTATAATACTTTCAACAGTAAAGATAATTTTTAAAAAAAAAGAACACTGCTTCAAAGACATTAAAAACAGAATTTGAGTAAAAAAGGTATGCATCTTTTTCCAAATTTTACTCACTTTTCTCATATTTAGGACGTTAATGGATCCAGATTATAGGCAATAATTTGAAAAACTATCTTTGAGATTCTTATGGGAAGGAGAGTCAAAAGTAATGTACTATATAATAGCAGGATCATTCCCTTCAACCCTTATACCAATTAGTTAACATGAATAAACTGTTTATGGTCTCCTTTTATACAAATCTGCTTATGTTCTAGGCCAAAAGAGAACACAAAAAAAATCACATGTGATGTATAAACCTCTGGATCCTGCTTGGTGGAAAAAAATAGCTACAAAAGCAATGTGAGATAATTAAGGAAATTTGAACATGGAATAGATATTTAATGATTTGATGATTATTATTGTTAATGTTCTTAGATGTAATAATGAAGTTGTTGTTATTAGGAAAATGTATTTTTATAAGTAACAGTGAAAAATCATAACACGTACTAGTATAACTTACCCTAAATGTTTCAGATTAAAAAGTATATACAGAGAAAAAAGAAATAAAACATCTGTAGCAAATGTTAATTATTAGATTCACACAGAGGAAATATGAATGGTTATTGTACTCCTTTTTATCCCCTCCAACTTTTCTGTATGTTTGAAATTTTTTAAAAATGTTGGAGGGTGGAGGGGAACTAACCATCCCAGGCAATGTGAAACTACAACATGGAGAAAATATAAAAAGACTTGGTTATTCTTAAACTCAGCTTTTCTTTGTAGCAGTTTCCTACTGATTTCTTAAGAGCAGAAATAACTCTTTGAACCTGGGTGTTTAGCATTTTTAATAAAGCTAAAGACCATGAAATAGAAATCCTCAAGAAAGAACAATCATTTGGTAAGGCTTTTGTTTTCACATACTGAAACACAGCTGTGGTAGTCCAAGTGAGCTTCCTATACAGTACTTTCAAACAGTAGCTCTCACCAGCAGATCGTAACACTTTTTAGGATCCTTGACCTGTTGGAAAAACTCATGAAAGATATAAAGTTTCTCCTCAGAAAAATACCCGAAGACCCCAAATTTTGTATAGTTTCAGGAGGTTCCGCAGATAGTTTCCAAAGCCTGTACCTGAGCTGAGAACCTTTGCCTACTCTTTTCTGAGCTGCTCAGAATACTAAAGACGAATAAGGCCGTTTTCGCATAAAATTTAAATATATAAGCAAATTTCACTGCATTAATAATAGCTCTTTCACAAGCATATAAATTCTGTGATAAATTTCCTGCTTCTATTTGAAAGGTAATTTTTAAAGGTGTAAAGTCGAATATGGATTACATTCTCAGTTTGCACTTTTCTGGCTGCTGTTAAATGAGCAGAAATCCCGTTTTCAAAGTGGAACAAAATGTCTTTCTACGTGCCAACTGCTATACACATAAATCTTTCTGAGTATCTAAACCACACCGGCCAGGACTCCTGCCCTTTCCATTCTCCTTAACCAGCCCCGTTCGAAAAAAGTACACAGTTCCAACCTGAGAGGCACATATCCCAGAAAGGATTGTGGGTATTGTAGTCCTCTGCACACGCGCACCAGAGGAAGGTCAAGGTAAATACCAGAGGCTGAAGGAGAATCTTGTTTAGCATACAGAAGGTCCACGCTTCTTGCTTACCCTAAGCAAGGAAATAAAATAACAATGACCGAAATAGAGCCAGAAAACGCACCTCGAACTTCAAGTCCCAGTATGCTTTGCGCCACCAACCAGGGATTGCGGCTATCAGCGCCTGCGCCCAGCGCAGCCGGTAACGCGTCCGGCAAGCCGCAATCCAAACCCGTTCTGCCTCCACAGCCGCCGCCGAGGTGCTGGCGAAAAATGTGGGTTTTTGGTTACGGGTCCCTGATCTGGAAGGTGGACTTCCCCTATCAGGACAAGCTGGTCGGACGCATCACAGGCTACAGCCGGCGTTTCTGGCAAGGCAGCACAGACCACCGCGGAGTCCCGGGCAAGGTAAGCCCCTCGCCGTCCCCCAAACTTACGGTCCCCGGAGCGCTGCTCCCCACCTGCTGGCCCACCACGCGGGACCCACACCGCAACGCTTCCCAGGCCAAGCTTGTGGGTTAGGGATCATGCTGTCCCGTCTGTGCTTCTTCCTCTGCCACCTGCCTCCAACCTCTCCCAAACCTAGGGTACTCCCTCCGAAGCGGCTGGTGGTTAGTTTCGAGAGCTGGCGAGAAACAGGGCACAAGCACCCAGGCTCGCACAAGGCTGACGTGCTGGCAGGGGGCCCCTATCTTGGCAACCTCTGCCCCCAAAAAAGGCGGGAAGATCAATCTTTGAGTCACCACGGAGTTGAAATACTAAAATCAACTTGGAAATTCAGCTTTCTGGCCATTAAATTTGTTGGCATTTCTGCATTTTGGCAGACTTTCATTGGTTTGAATTTTAACGTATATGTTATTTCTGGGGTTTCTTTGTATCTATCCAAAGATTTATTGTATGACACCTAAGGTCATAGAACTCGTTTCCAAAATTACTTTGGGTTATTAAGGAACTTAGATCACTTTGATTAGACGTTAAATGAGTTCCCGGTTAGTTATTTGAGTAACTCAGTATCCATTAATATATCAGCATTATTTTAATGTTTCTGGATGGTTCTTCTCTAAAGTATAAATGTGAAATGTAAATTCTTTGATCTGTTTTTCAGTCAGTCATGCACTCATCTCATATTTGTACAGAAAAATAGTAGCAGTTCACTGCTTATGGAAATCAACCTTCTGCTGGTTGAAAACAACTAATCCAAAAGGAACACTGAATTTGAGTAACAGTGTGGATAACTTGAACACTTGTTTTAATTAACCTCCTAACTTTTGGAAGAGCACAAAAATTCTTATTGCTTATATTTTCTTTAAAATACTCTGAAAGTTGTAGTAGCTTGATTACCACTTTTCTTCTTTTTATTTTTATTGTTGATACTGTTACAGATGTCCCATTTCCTCCCCTTTGCCGCCATCATCACACTGTTGTCTGTGTCTGTAGGTTATGCATATATGTTCTTTGACTAATCCCTTCTCCTTGCATCCTGTTCCCCTTCTCTTCTCCCTTCTCCCTCTGACAGCTGTCAGTCCGTTCCATGTATCCATGCCTGTTTCTAATTTGTCCCTCAGTTTATTTTGTTCACAATAAGTGAGATCGTATGGTATTTGTCTTTCTCTAAGTGGCTTATTTCACATAACATAATCTGATAAATACATAATAAAATACTCTGAAAGTTGTATGAGCTTGATGACAGTTTTTTTTTTTTTTTAAGAAATAAATATTGGCCCAAAAACGTGTTATCTAAAATGTTAGAAATTAGATGCAGAAAGAAATTGGGGTTAATTCCAAAGAAATACTCCTGGAAAGAGGGGCCGAGTGGGGCCCATAGTAGCTTGCACCTGCTAGTAAAGAGACATAGGATTAAAATCACAAAAAGAGCCTGAGTTAGAAGTCATTCTACCTCAACTAGAGTTGGTTAATTAAGAATGTGACTTTAAGGCAGGTGACTTGAAAACAGGAGAGTGACTTAGAGCAAATGCATATTTATAGGCCAACAGAAACTTCATGGCCAAAGTATCACCAAAAGTGTTATAAAACAATATTTAATACTTTAAAGAACTAAGTTAAATAAAATACCTTTAGAGTAGTCAGCTCTAAACACTTAAAATTGCCATTCTGAAGAGAAAAGCCTTAGCCTAGGCTCCAATTTTAAGGACCAAATATTAAATATTTACAAGTAAGCCCAGCAGGTCTTGCTCAGTAGTTGAGCGTGACTTATGAATCAGGAGGTCACAGTTTGATTCCCAGTGAGGGCACGTGCCCAAGTTGAGGACTTGATCCACAGTGGGGGGCATGCAGGAGGCAGCCAATCAATGATTCTCTCTCATCATTGATGTTTCTCTCTCCTTTCTCTGAAATTAAAAATATTTAATAAATATTTACGAATAAGGTTTAATAGCATATTTTACTACTCTAGCCTCAACCAAATGTTTATGTTTGTTACATAACACATTGAGATCTGTACACTGTGAGAAATGTCTGGTAAGAAATTGTCAAGTTAATTCAACATGTTTCTTTAAAAGAAGACAGCCATAAAAGCCAGTATTTCTCTTTTTATTTAAATTTACTAAAAGATAAGGCAGGAAAGTTAGAGGAGGATAATTGCAATTGTCTTTAAAACTGTAATAGTTTTACACCTACTTCTATTTAAATAACCTATCCTAGAAAACTAAAGGAGAGTCTAAGTACTAAGAATTTTTTTAAATGTATTTTTATTGATTTCAGAGCAGAAGGGAGAGGGGGAGAAAGAGATAGAAACATCAATGATGAGAGAGAATCATTGATTGGCTGCCTCCTCCACGCCCCCTACTGGGGATGGATCCCACAACCCAGGCATATGTGCTTGACCAGAATCGAACCCTGGACCCTTCAGTCCATAGGCTGACGCTCTATCCACTGAGCCAGTACCATCTAGGGCAGTACTAAGCATTTTCTAAGTATGCTCTTCTGTTTAAAAAAAAAAAACAAAAAAAAACTAGAAAAACATTATTATTCACTTCACATTTTTCATAACAATGGACACCAACCTTATATAAATATTAACTGTCTGACATGATACAAAAACCTATAGAAGTACCCATCAAATCAAAATAACATAATTGCTATATAGGACTATGATTTTTACAGCAATATGTGCTCCTAGTAAGTCAGTCATCATTCCATATGAAATGTAATATTTTTAAACAAATGTTAGACTTATTTCTACACTAGTGGCCCGGTGCACAGATTCATGCACATTGAAAGGAAATTAATTAGAAGAAATATTTTACTATCAGGCTCCCTCCTCTCTGGTTCCGGGGTGACTCACCCGAGAACCACCGCTGCCAAGTCACCGCAGTTCGGCAGCTGTTGCATTGAGCACCTGGCCCCTGGTGGTCAGTGTGTCATATGTACTGGATGGTCAGATGGTCACTTAGCCTTTTATATAGAGAGAGATTCTGCAAAGTGCTATTTACTTTATGAAATTGTGCTTTCTTTTTGGCTTCACTTAATTTTTTTACTAAGTTTAATCAAGCATCTCATCTATACTAATAAGGTAATATGCAAATTGGTTGGGACACCATCACAGTAACAACTGATCAGCAGGCTGCGTGCGCAGCAGGCATGGGTGGGTGGGGACTTGCAGAGTCGGGGACAGGGGTGGGGCCTCTCCCCCGGCTCTGGCCTACCTCTTTGGGGTGATGGATCGTGGGGCTCCTGCACTGTGACAGGGCACAGGCCAGGCTGGGGGGAATCCCCCCCCCCACCTCGAGTGCATGAATTTCATGCACCAGACCACTAGTTTATATATAAAAAACTGGCCATTTCTCAATCAAATGAAAGATTTATTTAAATGTGAAAATTTTTTCACATCAGAGAAAATTTTAATTTCAAAAAAGAGGAAACATTTTAACGCAAGATAATTGTGAACATTTACTAAATCCCTAACTTTTCTAGAGCAGCCTTAGTACGGGTATGTTTTTTAATATCTCCATTTTAAGTCAACATAATATGTAACTAATATATGCAAGTTGAAGGGAATGGCTTATAAAGGCCAAGATAATATGGATAAAGCAGATTCTCATAATTCACTCTAAAAGTTATAAAACATAAGAGCTTTTTAAAAAAGTGTCTAGTATGAGCAAATGAAGTTTAAATATCCCATGTCAACAATAATTTGCTAATGCTTGGTTAGTTTAATTAAGAGAAAAAAATAATTTGTTTTACTTATTTCGTGTTTTGTTTTTACTTTTTTTAAAAAAACAGCCTGGAAGAGTTGTGACTCTTATTGAAGATCCTGGGGTATAGTATAATTTTTTTTTGTATAGTCTTTAGTTACATAAGTTGTTGAGATGTTTCTCAATTTTAAATTAAATTGTACTGACAATCATTACAATTTCAACTGCACTAGATCTAGAATTCCTTTCTATTTATCTGTTGAAAAAAGTTGGATGCAGAATGCAAGGTACACAACAAAAGAAAAACAAATGGCCTATGGTCTCATTTATTTTTCTTAATGAGTTTGTTGACTGAGAATTTTGTGGTCCTCTTTTACATAAATGGAGCCAGCCCAACTACCATTAAGAATGAAATGGAACCCTAAAAGCTCTCCTCACATTTTCTAGGAGTCTAATACAGGATGTCCCCCCAAAAAATGTATACATACTGTAACAGCTGATAGCTCACTTTTGAAAATGAAATATATTTTAATAAACACTGCCTTTATAATTATTCAAAATGTGTATATACATTTTTGGGGTACACCCTGTATTTTCAGCAAAAACCCCAGGCAGGAATTATTGCTTTCTTTATTGTCTAAATTTATCAATAGCGCAACAAGTTTTTTAACAGGTTTGGAGCACTAGAAAACTTTTATTTACTCAATAGTCCTCTTTCTTAAATATTTTCAGTCATTTTATTGAGGTATAGGTTAAGTTTAATACTGTGAAATTAAAGATTTACCTATGGAAAGGACTTTGACACAAAAATCAACAGCTAGCAACAGCAGATGACTAATGGTAAAATTATGAAATGCTTTCATAATTTATATTAGGAATGGCATCTATAATAAGGCTTTAAACTAGTAACTATAAATCTTAATTAAAGTTAATAAATGGTACTTTGTTTCTAGAGAATGTTAATTCATTCAAGAGGATGCTTAGCAACCTAAAGTTTAATAAAGTTAATAAAGGTGCTCAAACAGATAGAAAATCTGTATTACAAAATGTAAATGTAACATATTACAGATATTTTATTTATAGTAAAAAAATATTAGCAACTAAAATACATTATTTTTACTGACACTTTGTTCATGGGCTCTCTTGACAAAAGAAGTTGTTATGTAGTATTCTCAAAGGAGTAATTTACAAAGGATACTTGAAAGTTTAGGCAGTGAAGAGATGAACAAATAAACTGCTCAGCCCTTAAGTAGTTGATTACTACAGAGCTTTTAAAACCTTATGGGGGAAAAAAGAAACACTCAATATGTAAAAAGTAAGTGATGCTCAGCTCCTAGCACCGCCCCACCCCCAACACTCATATCGAGATAGCCTCTGTGGTAGGCTTCAGGGTGGCGTTAACACTCCATGCAGCAGTTTGAAAACTACTGCCCTACCATCAGTGAAATGCTTATGAATTTAAAGCTTCAGAACCTCAGTTTTAATGACCAAATGAAGACCTGATCTTTTTTCATTTCGGTCTCATCAGATAAAAAACATATTTTCAAAAATTTAAGCAAAGATAAATATCCTGGTGGGCAAGGAAATAATGTTTTCAAACTGAAGAATTTAAAATGATTTCCTTTATGGTTTAGTATGTACCTCTTCGATGTACCAAGTAAACTGCATTGATTTCTAAGAATAAACAAGAAATGTTCTTACATCACAATGTACTTTCACCCGTTTTACCATGTAAATACTAAACAATATATTCTTTTCACTTTTCAATAGGGCTGTGTATGGGGTGTTGCTTACAGACTGCCAGCAGGAAAGGAAGAAGAAGTAAAAGCGTACCTTGACTTCAGAGAGAAAGGAGGCTACAGGACCACAACAGTCATTTTTTATCCAAAAGATCCCACTACAAAACCATTCAATGTGTTGCTATATATTGGAACACATGATAATCCTAATTACCTTGGTCCTGCACCTCTGGAAGATATTGCTGAACAAATCTTTAATGCAGCTGGTCCAAGTGGAAGAAATACAGAATATCTTTTTGAACTTGCAAATTCTATTAGGAATCTTGTGCCAGAAGATGCAGATGAGCATCTTTTCTCTTTGGAAAAATTAGTAAAAGAACGTTTAGAAGGAAAACAGAACCTCGACTGCTTATAAAGACCTAATCATTGACTTTTCCAGAGAAGTAGAACTTTTAGTCTTCAAGAATAGTTGCACTGCACAATGACAATATGATTTGGAAACATATTTAGTTGAAGATCTTATTTATTTTTAATGTTGTAGTCAAGATATCATCAAAATTTATAGTTAATTCCATGTGTCCTGAAACACATATATATTCAAAGTATAGGGTATAGTTAAAGAAAAAATTCAATTGTATATTGAACACTTGATCATGAGAAGTTCTTTAGAAAAATACAAGAAATTTCACAGCTTGTTTTTTAATCAGAGTAAAAATAATTTTGTTCTTTCATATGACAATACTTTTTTGAAGTTGTAGAGAATTAAATAAAAAACCCAATAAATATAATAAGGTATACCTCCAATATATTCCTATGCAATAATTCTGTTACATGGTTTAAAATATACAAGCTGAAAATATGTGTAATTACAAATATATAATAACTAGAGGTCTGGTGCACAAAATTCGTGCATTGAGGGGGGGGTTCCCCTCAGCCCAGTCTGCGCCCTCTCGCAGTCCAGGAGCCCTTGGGGGATGTCCAACTACTGGCTTAGGCCCGCTTGGACATCCCTCTCGCAGTCCGGGAGCCCTCGCTCCTTACCGCCCACCTGCTCGCTGCTCCTTATCACTGCGTGGAGGCGGGAAAGGCTCCAGCCACCGCTGCTGCACTCCCCAGCCATGAGCCCAGCTTCTGGCTGAGCAGCACTCCCCCTGTAGGAGCGCACTGACCACCAGGGGGCAGCTCCTGTGTTGAGCGTCTGCCTCCTGGTGGTCAGTGCACATCATAACAACCAGTTATTCTGGTCATTCCGCCATAACAGTTGCTTAGATTTTTATTATATAGATAAGATTTCAGCTTTGATTAAAAATTTCCTTGTTCAGTTATTAAATAATATCCCTTCCAAATTTAAGGCCCCCAAAATTAGCATGTGTAATATAAAAATTTCCTATGCGTCTCCTTTTTTAAATAAATGCATTTTACTACATGGAAAAAAACTCAGCTAAAAAAGCACAAATAACATAATATAAATCCACTAACAATGTAGTCTGTCATTCACTTTGTATTAATCTTATAGTAAAATGTTTAAAAGATGGGTATTCTAATATTTTAAATTAACAAACATATTAAGTGAAAGTCTGGTGTTTTGATATTTTTTAAAATATATTTTATTGATTTCAGAGAGGGAGGGAGAGGGAAAGAGAGATAGAAACACCAATGATGAGAAAGAACCATTGCCCTGGCCAGCTTGGTTCATTGGATAGAGCATCGGCCTGCGAACTGAAGGGTCCCAGGTTCGATTCCAGCCAAGGGCACCTGCCTGGGTTGTGGGCTCGATCCCCAGTAGGGGGTATGCAGGAGGCAATCAATGATTCTCTCTCATCATTGGTGTTTCTATCTCCCTCTCCCTTCCTCTGAAATCAATAAAGAAATTTAAAAAAAAAGAAAAGAAAGAACCATTGGTCAACTGCCTCCTGCACGCCACCCACTGGGGGTCGAGCCCACAAGCCAGGCATATGCCCTTGGCCGGAATGGAACCTCGGACCTTTCAGGCCACAGGGCGATGCTCTATCCACTGAGCCAAACCAGCTAGGGCAAAAGTTGGTGTTTTTAAGGTCTTTTAGAATTATAAATTTTAAGTAAAAAAAAAAAAATGGCATTGAGTGGATTTTTTAAAATAGTTGTTTCTACTTCTACTCCAGGCCAATCATTTGCTATACAGATTTTTTCCCCTTCTGTCTTGTCACCTAAACAAAGACTTATGCTGAATTAGTGTTGATGGTGCCACTAAGTAGGAAATGTATAATAATAATACACATTATTAATTCATGTAGAATTAGCCTTGATTCAAACTCATGAGATTATTTCTTTCTCAAAAGGATATAGTCTCTCTAAAAATCTTTCAATATGAAAAGAATTTCCGTATCACATTAAATCTGATATGAAACAATAAAAATTCTTTTAACCCAGTCATGACTAATAGTACAGAATAAAAATAAAGCTGTCCTGTGTGATGATTGTGGGAAGCGGGGGAGGAGAGTGAAGGTGCAAGAGGGCTTAGAGGGTAATAAATGGTGATGGAAAAAATAAAAGAAATAAGCTTTCTGGAGGAGACATATAAATAAATATGAAAACAAAAATAAATAAATAAAGCTGCCCTACATAGTAGGAACGGTAATTCTTTTCATGTTTTTCTATTAACACTTTTCTTGGTAATTTACTCAGCTATATAGCTTTTTAAATATTTTCTAACACTTTCAATTTTAGTGTTCCAGAAGGCATTTCATTTGTCCTGTACAAGAAAAGTACTGACATTCACTAATGAATATTGCATAAGGATATACCAGGCAATTACATATGAAAGCATTTTCTCAATAACACCTCTAAACTTGTTCCCAGAGTAACCTGCATACAGTAACACATCTAATAAGTAGCAGAAATCCAGGTTTATTTGACTCAAGCACAAGATCTTTCTACAATATATTTTAAAAACCATCTGAACTTAACCATCTTAACTACCCTGCATTTTTTTCTTTAAGAGGTAAACAAGATTAATGTTTTGTATAATGAAATAGTACATAACTTATGACATAAAGATGCTAGAGTTAATTTTGATATATATAGAGATTCCAACAAATATAATGGGCCTATCCAAGATTCACATGCTGTAGCTCACAATCACATAGGTAAATTCAAAGATCTAGCGGCCTTTTATTTTACAAGATTAGGTCCAAAGGAGTTTGTGACTCCCCAGAGATTCTTCTATCACTTAATACATAACAGAATATTAAGGGGGAGAATTACTTTGTGATCCTCATTTAAATGTCTTTCTAGCTTTCAGTTAGAAATTAGACAAACCCTGGCGAGTGTGGCTCGGTTGGGTGTTGTCCTGTGCACCAAAAGGTTGCTGGTTCAATTCCTGGTCAGGGCATGTGGCTGGGTTGCAAACTAATACCAAATAGGGCGTGTACAGGAGCAGGCGATGGATGTTCCACTCTCACATCAATGTTTCCCTCTCCCTCACCCTTCCTCACTCTCTAAAAATCAATAAAACTCTATTTTTAAAAAGAAGTTAGACAAGAATTATGTGAACATACATGTGGCTTGCCATCAACACCAATAGGGAGGCCCTGTTCCAAAAGGCCCAGGAACAGGGATATTCATTTTCATTGAGATGGAGAGAAACAGAACTAAAGTGGGGAAGTTAAATAGTACTGAATTAGAGAGAAGCTAGGGTTTGGAGCCTCCAAATCAGCAAGAATCATAACAAAGGTACCAATTACCTAGAGCAGCCGTGGGCAAACTATGGCCCGCGGGCCGGATCCGGCCGGTTTGAAATGAATAAAACTAAAAAAAAAAAAGACCGTACCCTTTTATGTAATGATGTTTACTTTGAATTTACATTAGTTCACACAAACACTCCATCCATGCTTTTGTTCCGGCCCTCCGGTCCAGTTTAAGAACCCATTGTGGCCCTCGAGTCAAAAAGTTTGCCCACCCCTGGTATAAACCCTCCATTGAGAGAAGACACCTGTAATATAAATCTCTAATTGAGTGGATTTTTTAAAATAAGTGTTTCTACTCCTACTCCAGGCCAATCTTAAATTTCCTTTTCCCACTCCCAAACAACACATTCACTGTTCAATCTACCAAGAACCATAAATAAGTACCATTTTAAAAATACCACTTCCACACATAAAAGGTTTATCAGCCCAGCCGGTGTGGCTCAGTGGTTGAGTGTCAACCCATACACAAGCAGTCACTGGTATGATTCTCAGTCAGGGCACATGTCCAGGTTGTGGGCTCGATCCCCCTTAGGGGGCATGCAAGAGGTAGGCGATCAATGTTTCTCTCTAATAGATGTTTCTATCTCTCCCTCTCCCTTTTTCTCTAAAATCAGTATCAATAAAAACATATTTATTCTAAAGTTTATCATTTAGGGAAACAAAGACTGTTGTACTGTCAACTTTGAATACTTTAAAGCATGAATGTAATCCATTTCTTTAAGACTGATTTTAAAAGTTTGACCATTGGTTAAACAGCATGCTATTAAACAATGATTGGGTTACCAAAGAGATCGAAGAAGAAATGAAAAGCATTCTGGAATCAAGTGACAATGAAAACACACAACAATCCAAAATCTATGGGACACAGTGAAAGCAGTCCTGAGGAGGAAGTTCATAGCTCTACAGGCCCACCTCAAAAAACAGGAAAAATGGTAATAAATTATCTAACCCTGCAACTTAAAGAATTAGAAAGAGAGCAACAAGAAAAGCCTAGAGTAAGCAGAAGGAAATAATAAAGATCAGAACGGAAATAAACAACAGAGACAAAAAAAAAAAAAAACAGTACAAAAGAAAAATAAAACCTAGTGCTGGTTCTTTGAAAAGATAAACAAGATTGATGAACCTCTACCCAGGCTCACCAAGAAACAAGAGATAGGACCCAAATAAACAAAATCAGAAATGAGAGAAGTAACAACCAGCCCCCCAGACATACAAAGGATGGCAGAAAAATACTATGAACAACTCCAACAAACTGGACAACCTTGACAAAGTGGACACATTCCTAGAAAAATACAAGCTTCCAAAACTCAATCAGAAAGAATCAAGATTTGGAAACAGCCTAAGTGCCCATCAGCAGACGAGTGGATTAGAAAACAGTGGTACATCTACACAATGGAATACTACGCTGCTGTAAAAAAGAAGGAATTCTTGTCATTTGCAACAGCATGGATGGAACTGGAGAACATCATGCTAAGGGAAAGTCGGAGAAAGATAAATATCACATGATCTCACTCATTTGTGGAATATAATGAACAACATAAATTGATGAACAAAAATAGAACCAGAGACACAGAAGCATCCATCAGACTGTCCAACCTATGAGGGAAGGCGAGGGGTGAAGGGGTAAGAGATCAACCAAAGGCCCTAGCAGGTCTGGCTCAGTGGACAGAATGTCAGCCTGTGGACTGAAGGGTCCTAGGTTTGATCCTGGTCAAGGGCATGTGCCCAGGTTGCGGGCTTGATCCCTAAATGGGGGGCATGCGGGAGGCAGCCAATCAATGATTCTCCTCATTGATGTTTCTATATCTCTCCCTCCCTCTCCCTTCCTCTCTAAAATCAATAAAAATATATTTTTTTAAAAAAGAGATCAACTGCCTAACCGGTTTGGCTCAGTGGATAGAGCATCGGCCTGCGACTCAGGGGTCCCAGGTTCGATTCCGGGCAAGGGCATGTACCTTGGTTGTGGGCACATCCCCACTGGGGGGGCGTGCAGGAGGCAGCTGATCGATCTCTCTCATCGATGTTTCTGGCTCTCTATCCCTCTCCCTTCTTCTCTGTAAAAAATCAATAAAATTTTTTTTTTTTTAAAAAAAAAGATCAACCAAAGGACTTGCATGCATGCATACGAGCATAACCAATGGACACAGATGGGGGGAGGAGGAGGGCATGTGGTGGGGGGAAGTGGGGAGGGGCGGCCGGGGAGAGGTCAATGGGGGGAAAAGGAGACTCATGTAATACTTTAAACAATTTAAAGAATGTAAAATAATAATGAGTAAATAAATAACTACTCTTCCTGCTTTGTGATTTGGTTCAAATTTGGGATTGGGGTGGGGGGGGGGGGGGAGAAACAGTCTTCAGCAGATCTAGTAAAAGATTTAGCTTTTCCCACCACCAGAAAGACAATGGCAGGTGCTCTTTGGCTAACGCTGTGTAACCCATCACGTTAGAAATTAAAACAGTGGCATCGTTAAAAGAAAAAAAAGAGGTGTAGGAGACCCAAACTTTGTCTGATTTTAAATGCAGGCAGATGTGTCTTAACCTCATGTGATTCATAACCTCACATTCACTTGGCCCTGAAACCTCACATAAGGAAACTTGGCTTCATTGATAAAAACAACCACCCAACATTTCACCGGCGCTGCGGGACCGAGCAACCTGCCCGCGTTAGTCGGTTCCCGGAGGCCCGCCGCCCACCGCGGAAGAGGCGGGGGGAGCCTCCGCGGGAGGGGCAGCGGCAGAAGCTCGGTGCGGGGACGGGGGAACGAAAAGGGCGGGAGGGGAGAGCAGGCAGGACCACCGTCCCTCCTCCCGTGGCACCGCTTCCAGTTTCCTCGTCCAAGGACCAGAGCCGGGCCCCTCACACGATTCCCGCGCCCGTGCGCGTCAAACTGCTGCCCGCGCTGGACAGCCGCGCGGGAGGGCGGGCGGGCGGGCGGGCGGGCGCGGCCACCGCCTCCCGGACTCACCGGTTCTCTGTGCCTTCACTTCTCCGCCGAAAAGACGGGTCCGAGGCCCGGTCTTCAAGCCTCCCCTCCCCGGGAGGCCGCTGCGTTCGATTCCCCCGCGAAACTGCGGTTGTGGGAAACCACCACAGCCCAGCCGCTATCCCGGCTTCCGTAGCGCCTGCCCGGTGACCCCGGATGTTGATACTCCGCCTGCCCCGGAAACGGTGGCGGGTGGCCCACGGGGGCAGGGGCGGCGTAGCCCGGCTCTCCGGAAGGAGACGTGGCGGCGGTTGGGCCCTGGGCTGCCTGGGCGTTTAAGTAGTCCCGCCGCCTCCTCCTCCTCCTCCTCCCCTCCTCTCCTCGGTGGCAGAGGAGGTTGTGTCGGCGGCTGGCGAGATCGGCGGTGGAGGATGGAGGAAGGAGGCGGCGGCGCGCGGAGTCTGGGCCCGGGCGGACCGGTGCTCTTGGTCCTCTGCGGCCTCCTAGAGGCGTCCGGCGGCGTCCGAGCGCTCCCCCAACTCAGCGATGACATCCCTTTCCGAGTCAACTGGCCCGGCACCGAGTTCTCTCTGGTCAGTGCCCTCGCGAGTCCGTATCCATCTCGCTTCCCCGCGGCGTTCAGGGTTCGGCCCCTTGCCTCGGTCTTCTGCGCTTGTTTCTCCTAGAACCACCGGTGCAGGCGCGTGCCCTCTCCCCCCTCCAAAACTCGGTGCGCCCCGCGTCCGTTCATTCATTCATCTCTAGACCGCAAGTGCTTCCCGAACGCGGCATGTGGAGGTGCCCCCAGGCTGAGCCCTGGGGACCCAGCGGCCAGCTGATCACTGTTTGAATCTGTCGCACTAGACTCGCTTTACCCACGCTCCCTCCCCGGGGAGGAGGGCTTCCTACCACCACGGCAGGCGAGCGCTCTTCCTTCTCTTTGGAAAGTCACTCCAGCTGTTGCACACCGTCCTGCCCACACACCCCTGTTCCCGCCGAGAGGAGTCCCCCCTCTCATTCATCTTCATTCTTCTCTCTCTTATGCGCACACGTCCATCTGTGCACAGCTCGTCTCCCTTCAGAGCTGTGTTTGAGATGGCTCTTTGGCCGGAGATGTTTACGATGCTCAGTGTAGAATATCCTTTACAGTTTTGTTGCATTACGACTGACTGTTCATTAAGATCCCAGAACGTGAGATTTTTATGATGAGTTTTCCAATAATGAACATACGTATAACCTCACCGTAATGAAATTCTGCGGTCCTTCCCTTCGGGGAGTCGATTGCTGAAAAGTCTTCCTATCCACTCACTGTCAGCCAATGAAAATGGTGCGTATCTGATACTTAGCCTGTAGTGATGGATTTGTTTCAAACTGAAGCCCTTGGGAATGGAAAACTTTTTAAATAATTTTTTATGCCAATTACCTATAGTCATTCCACTTGGGGAACTTATCTTAGTATATTGCTCTATTGCTATTTCATTGAAACAAGATGTACCAGGAAAAGGGATGTCATCCTTGCCGCAACCAGTTTCTATTTGCAAATGTTCGTTTTTGCTAATATTTCACACCTGCTTTATTTCTCCGCCCCACCCTCCCCCCGGTTTTCAGTTCTCTTATTCTGGCAGTTCAGATTTATCTAAGTAAATATTTCTCTGGGAAGACAGGTTTATCTTTGGGTTAATGCCATGAAATACAGGGTGGGGCAAAAGTAGATTTACAGTTGTGAGTACACAAAACAGAGTTTATTCTTGTATAATTATTAATCGTTGTATTCCTTTCCATAGGAACAACTATAAACCCACTTTGCCTCACCCTGTATTGATAATATATACCAGCTGTGAGTCAGATATAACTTTAGCAGGGTTGGGGTTATTGTTTCCAGACAGCACACGTGGAATGAACATGACAAATGTTTAAAAAATTTGGTCATTAAAATGTTTTACTCGTGCACCTGTGTTGTTGTGTTTGTTTGTTTTTTCTTTAATTTAAAAACTCATGCCGATATATGGCCCTACCAAACTCACCAACCTAGAAGTGGATGATTTAAATTAGCCTTTTTAGAGGTGACTACCCAGTTATTATTCAGTTTTCTTTCTGCACTGCTGTTTACTAGCTAAAAACAGGAAATGCTATACCAACCTTTCACATATCTGTCAATTTTATTTTGAAATTTTGTTTTTAATTACTTTTCTTTGGCAATGCATAATCTAAGATGGGGACAGTTGAAGATTTGGGGAGACTTATTTTTTCTTTTTTTTTAAGTTTGAATTACTAAACATTTTTCTATGAGTTGGCAAAAGGTCTGTAGCCCTCAAGCAAAAATAAGGCCCAAGAGACATCATTGGTTTTTTGTTTTTTTAAAAAACTATTTTTATAGTCTTAAGGCTTCCCTTTCCTACTTTATGTAATTGAAACTGCAGCTCTTCTCACCTGGCACTGTCGTTTGTTTTTTTATGGGTCAGTTGGTTGGACATTTGTGTAAAACTAAGCAGCTGCAAGAAGTAGGGAGAGGGCCTTTATCTCTCTGCCATCTAAAATTGGAAGGGACTGGATTAGATCTGGATTCCTTTTAGGTCTAAAAGTATTTTGTGCTTTAAATCATCGTCCCATTCATATACATCAAGAAATACATAATCATTACAATCTTGCTTCCAAATTTATTTGGAAAAAGTATTAAGCACCAAAAATTGGTAAATTTTAAAATGTTTACATTAATTAATTATGATAGTCTTTACTGGTTTTTAGCATTAAATTTTGTCTGTGTATATATTTTCCTTCTGAAATATCACTTCTAGGTCATCAAAATATCACTTCTAGGTCAGTAATTATTCATTACTTCACGGAGTTCATGGATTTTAAAATAAAACTACAAAATAAGTCTAATTTTCTCTACGTCTGTTGTTAATATAGAAATGTATTCCCACTCAAAAACTTTCCTCAAACACTGCACTTTGGAAGAGTGGTGACCTACTCCATGGGTGTTCCGAGCATGTTATATATGTTGACAAGTTGTACCACTGACTTTATTTTACAGCCTTTCGGATAGTTTTGTCTCTCATTCTCTATCTTAATTCCTCCAGACTCATGTCAAACATTAGGGATTTCTCCCCTGTCTAGATATCTGTAAAGTTCTTTAACCTTAAAGTACCAAGCCCCTTTGTTTAGTGTCATTATATTAAAATCTGATATTTATCAAGTCACTAATATTACCTGTTACAATGAAAATACTTTAAGGTTTAATTTACGTAAAACAGGTTTTTACACCATCTGTAATTATGTACATGCAGAATTTATTTTATTTTCTTAAATTAAGAGCCTATTTCATAAAATCAGAAGGAAGCATTTTAGTAGTAGATCGAAAAAAAGTTTTAACTTAGAAAATCACAAAAGTTTTTAAAATGTTACTTTTTCCAAGTAATTTCCATTACACAAAAGAAGGGTAAAGTTTGTTACAAATTTTTCTTTATCATCCCAATAAGTGACTCTCTGTTCAGTGAAGAATTTTCAGATAGAATCATTTCTTGTGGGTCTGTTTTATTGATGAGGAAAGCAGCCCTTCCTGAGCTAATGAAAGACAGATCTTTGCATCTTCACACAAAATAGTGATGGCTTCTATTTCTTGTTACCCCTTCCCTAGACCTTGAAAACAAAAAGCAGAGAGATGAGTTTTTGGGGTTTGTTTGTTGTTTTTTACTGATTTCAGAGAGAGGAATTGGAAAAGTCCATCAGAGAGAAACATTGATTGGTTGCCTCCTATACGCCCTCTACTAGGGATTGAGCCTGAAACCTGGGCAGGTGCCCCACTGGGAATGGAACAGGTGACCTCTTGCTGCATGGGGCGATGCTCAATCCACTGAGCCACACCACCCGGCAAACAGTTCCTTTTTCCATTGTTAGCATTGTGGTGAACATGTCAGCAAATAAGTCGATATTGCTATAGAATTCAACTCTGAGCATTAGAGCTGCAGATACTTCACAAATAAAGGCGAATACATGTATATGCTAATATCTGCCTTCATTACAGTACAGCAATGATTTTACAATAATTCAGACCATCCATTGTTAAGAAATGTGAGTCATGTTTGAAGAACTCACTATCATGTACGAATACTGAATATTGTAAAACATTGAGAGGCATTACGCTACAGCAGTTTATTGGCTCAACTAAACAAGTGTTTCTAAGTATTCCATTAGTGTAAATTTGACTTTGCAACTCTAACTTTCAAATCTTTTTTATTCCCCTCTTATAATAATCTTTTTTAAAAGGTAAAAGGGGCCAGATATGTGGTGACAGAAAATGATTTGACTTTGGGTGGTGGGCACACAATGCAATATACAGATCATGTGTCATAGAAATATACACTTGAAACCTATATGATCCTATAAACCAATGTCATTCCAATAAATTTAATTTTTTAAAAAAAAGATCCTTGACCATAAACCAGGAATCTATATAATAATCTAAGAAAATGTTAACAAAAGCCGACTGAAACACATTAAAACAGTTAAGAGCACAGAATATGGAAACTGTACTTACTAGCTGTGTTACCTTGGACAAGTTATTTAAACTCTGAACTTCCGTTTCCTTTTCTGTAAGATGGATAGAACACTTGTTTTGAGGAGCAAGGAGGACTGTAAAGGACTTAAAATTGTACTTTCATGTAGCTAATACAGCTTATTTTTATTGCTATTTTTTCATTTCGATTTATTGGGAAAACATTGCCCTAATTTGCATTTGTATTTAAGATGACATTGGTGTCAAGTAGTACTGGTTTTATTATGGTTAAACGTTGTTTTTGTTAAATTGAGAAAAGAACAAAGGTACTTAATAGTATAGCCAAATAGTATAGTGGTTTCATAGTACTGTAAGAAGAGAAAAGATAAGAGAGAATTGAATTATCATAGAACACATATTATAGACCGTGAAATCTCTGCCTTAGTAGTTAGTGACACATTTGCTATCACGGAGATTTTTTAAAATAATATCAGTTATTAATGAAATGTTCATTTGAATTACATTGGTTCGTATTTGATTTGTGAATTTGTTTTGCTTCATAATATAGAAAGATTTAGGGATAGTTTTGTTGATATATATCAGGAGTTGGTAAATAACACCTTTGTGCTTGCCCACCACCTGTTTTTGTAAATAAAATTTTTTTATAACATAGTCATTCCTATTTGCTTATATATTGCCTATGTACTTTCTTACTACAGTGGTATAGTTAAGTAGTTACAGAGACCATAAAGCCCACAAAGCCTAAAATATTTACTATCTGGCCCTTTATGGAAAAGATTTGCTGACCCATGATATATACTTTAAAAAAAGTTAAGTCAGCACAAATGACCTATGGTGATTTTTTCTTTTAGAAGTAATTTATCTGTGCAGTATCCAAATGTGAAAAATACGGTACTATATTTTGTTCAAGTGTCCCATCCAACACAATTGCAAGTACCTTTATAAAGTGCTGTAGATTCCTACATAAAGGTGGTAATTGTTAGTAGAAGTAACAAGTATTCAGTAATAGTGTATCCATGAACATTGCCTCTTAATATTTTTAACCCATATTTTAACTTCAATTTGTTGCATTACTACTTCTTTCTTTATATTTCAAACTTTCGTTTTGTTTATAGTTTTCTGTTGTATTCTAACACCAGGATAAAGTGTGTCATCTTCATTTTGTTATTTAAAAATACATATATCTTTTCCCTTTTCCTTTGGAGATATGTTTTAAAATCCTCTGTTGAAGTGATGAATAAGTTTTACTGAGGACTGTAAGTTATCAGTGTAATGCAATTTAACCAGAGAAAGTAATATGTATGTTTTGTTCTCTGTCTAGCCCACAACTGGAGTTTTGTATAAAGAAGATAATTATGTCATCATGACAACTACACAAAAAGAAAAATATAAATGCATTCTTCCTCTTGTGACAGGTGGGGATGAGGTATGTTTTTATAAGTATATTGATAATCCCTGTCACCAAAGATATTTTAAAACATTGCAACTTCATACTTTAAAATAAAATTGAATGACAGGTTTTCAATAATCATGTTTTGTAATAATAGTCACTTCTATTATCCTGAAGTCTTTGATTTTATAGTTCAACTTGGAAAAAGTTAGCCACAAATTATTGATGTTTTGAATAAAAGTCTAACTCCATTCTTACTTTCCTTTATAGAAATGAAGGTTTTGTAACAAGATATAATTTTTAAATATATATGTGACATTTTTAATAAAGAATTGCTAATAAATCTCTAGGCACCTTATGCTTTTTCACTGCCTTAGCTCATGCCCATTTCTTCCTCCTAAAATGCCCTAACTAACTGCCTCTTATCCATCCTTTAAGGCAATGACTTCTTTCAAGATGAAACAGGAGAGGCAGCATGGTAAAATGGAAAGGACATCAGCCTAGGAGCCAGGAGGCTGAGGTATAGGCTATAGTTAGCTATGAAACCTTGAAAAAAATCTGAAACTCAGTTCTTCTACTCAATAAATTTATTGAGCTAATTATGTAATATTTTCATGATCTGTGAAATGGAAATATTAAACTCAGTGAGTGCTTCTTAGTTTTGTTCAGATTTGAAATCTGTAACAGCTGTTTAATTTTGTTTTAAACCTATTTAAGACACAAACCACCCACACACAATCATACACATATATATATATATTTGGCATTCAAATCTGAAGTGTAAAAATACCTAGAAAACTAAGAAGTACCTTAAAATTTTTCAATATATTCAACAAGATTCAACTATTCTGAGGCTTTTATAGCTAGAATTTGGGCAAAATCATTTAAAAATTCTGAAATAGTCTATAAGAATTGTTCAGGAAATTGATACTCAGAAACCTTTTCTTAAGAGAAGAAAGAATGGAAGATTATTCTATGGCTCCATATTTTATACTTCAATTCTTTTGAAAGAAGTGGTATACCATAGTTTATTATTAAAGGACTAGATGCCCAGTGCAAGAATTTATGCACCAGTGGGGATCCCTCAGCCTGGCCTGTGGGATCGGGCCAAAACCAGCTCTCTGACATCCCCCGATGGGTCCCGGATTTTGAGAGGGCGCAGGCAATGCCGAGGGACCCCACCAGTACACAATGAGGGCCTGGGAGGGACCATAGGAGGGCTTCAGGGCATGTCCGGCCTGTCTTGCTCAGTCCTGATTGGCCAGACCCCAGCAGCAAGCTAACCTACTGGTCGGAGCATCTGCCCCCTGGTGGTCAGTGCATGTCATAGTAAACGGTTGAGCGGCCTTAGCATATCATTAGCATATTACTCTTTAATTGGTTGAACTGATGACCAGACACTTAGCATATTAGGCTTTTATGATATAGAATTTGACTTTTTTTTCCTTTTTATTTCCAAGCGTTTGTGATTTGACCAATGAGTTAACAACCAACAGTAGAGTTGGGTGAAGTTCTAGCATAATTGTAAGTATTAAACTCTAGTTCTTTCATAGGAAGAAGAAAAGGATTATAAAGGTCCTAATCCAAGAGAGCTACTGGAGCCACTATTTAAACAAAGCAGTTGTTCCTACAGAGTATGTATTTTATGTTCACTTGATAACTAGAAAATAAATTTTCAGCAGCTAATAGGCCCTTGAATATAATTCTGCATTTCTTTTATGTTGTATCAAATTTTTAAATGTAAATCTAAGCTATTGCTTAATAGTATTTTGTTTATTTAAATTCCGTATAGTGTATGTAGCAAACACCCAATAATACCAATATCAAATAATATCACTTACCAGTTTTGAATGTTTTTCAGATCAAAAGAAATTTTCCTTATATACAATTTTAACTAAAAATATTAATAATTATCTTGTAAGCTACTTGGAAAAATGATCCCTAAGCCTGGTGGCTATTCTATAGCTATTTTCTTCACAGAATTTTCACATATAGCTAATTAGTGAAAACGATGAATAGACTTCAGAAATTTCATTTTTTTTCTGAGGCATAATAGTAAGTTTCATTTAATGAAAGCTTACTCTAAATCTTGGGGGAAATCTTATCTACCTTAAGTATCAAAAAGTAACTTAATTGAGTTATGCGGGTTTTGTGTATTTAAATCCATCCTTCTTTCTTAGATTGAGTCTTATTGGACTTATGAAGTATGTCATGGAAAACATATTCGGCAGTACCATGAAGAGAAAGAAAGTGGTCAGGTATGTTTTCCTTCAAAATACCAAGCATGCCCTGGCAGGTGTGGCTCAGTTGGTCGGGCATCATCCCGTGCACCAAAGATTGCTGAATAGATTCCGGGTCAGGGCACATGCCCTGGTTTTGGGCTCAATCCCAGGTAGGGGGTGTGCAGGAGGCAGCCAAATCAATGTTTCTCTCTCTCTCCCTCCCCTTCTCCCTTCCTTTCTCTCTTTAAAAATAAATTTAAAAATCTTAAAAAGAAAATACAAAGTATGGAACATTATAAAAAGGAGAACTCTAATAATGAGATTAACAGTTTTAAGTTTGTATTTTTGAAAAATATATTTGCAAAATACTCATATTTTTATTTTATTTTTAAATATAGAAAGTAAATATTCACGAGTACTACCTTGGGAATATGTTGGCTAAGACTCTTCTACCTGAAAAAGGTTTGTGTCTATACTGACTTGATAGTAACGCTGGAATTTGATATAAAGTAAATGTTCAGTTTGGGATTTAAAATATTTTTTTGAGACTATGAATTTTAAAACACTAAAATAAATTTTTGAGTAATTCCTTTAGAAAACTTTTTCAAAAAGATCTTTTCATTCTTTTCTGCTTTAACAAACATTATGTTTTTTTCTACCTATTAATATATATTTTTTAAATCTCATAAGAGATACATGTTAGTGTTATCCTATATAATAAGAAGGGAATATGCTAATTAGCCATTACGCCCTGAGGTATAACGACCAAACACATCACAACCAGATCATGGATCAGCAGGAGGGTGGGCCAGCGAGATAAAAGCAGGCTGCGGAGATCTACAGGATGGGGCGGGGCAGCAAGCAAGTGGGAGGTGGAGAGCTACAGAAGTGGGCAGGGCAACAAGCTATGTGGGGAGGCGGGGGGAGCTACAGGAGGGCGGGGCAGCAGGCAGAGAGCTACAGGAGGGGGGCAGCGACCTACTGGTGCACGGATTCGTGCGCAGGGCTACTAGTATTATATAGTGCTAGTCTTGCTTGGTTTAAGCAAAGTTTTTATATGTTGAAATAGACATGTAGATGTGTCCCTCAAGTTGTGAAATATTTTATTTATATTCAAATTGATCACTAATTTATGATTAAACTTTTTACTGAGATAAAAATACTGTAAAAGAATACTATTGTTACCAGGTGGGGGTTTTTTTGCATCAAATAGAGTATTTCCTAAGCAAAGATTAAATATGACTATCCTTTCAAACAACACCATTTCAACTTGGTAAGACTAGTAAGATAAAAAGTACATGTATGTCTAGAAAGAAGTTTAAGATTACAGAGTTGATTGAAAACTTAATCATTTGTGTCTTGTATGTAGTCACTGTCATTCTTTACATTTACCTTACTCTCATATTATTTCACAGAACAAGAAGCAGAAGAAAAGGAAAAATCAAAAGAGGCAAGTGACAAATGTTGATTTTTCTCTCTTAACATCTGTTAGGCATGAATTTATATAACTTCATTAACAGAATATAACCATGTGTTCTTTAACTTTATCAGATATCTCAAAAGATGGGGTGAAAGAAATTTGCAATATGTTAGGTTTTTCTGAGAAAAGTTACACTATGATACTTTCATTTACTTTTAAGTTCATACAAAAATAAGCAACTTTACCAAAGGCATGTCTGGGAAAGTTTCTGTAACATCATTATATCACCTTTGTGCTTAGCAGAGGTTCCCTCTCTTTAACCATGAAAACAATTACAATAGAGCTTTTGTGTTTGGTCTCTATCTCCTGTGCGTAAAACAGATAAAACTATCTATGTAGGCCCTAGCTGGGTAGCTCCGTTGGAGCATAGCCCCAATGCGTCAAGGTTGCAGGTTCGATCACTGGTCAGGGCACATGCAAGAGTCAACCGATGAATGCATGAATGGGTGGAACAATAAATCAGTGCTTATCTCTTTCTCTTTCTCCCCTTTCCTCTCTAAAATAGATGATAGATAGGTAGGTAGGTAGGTAGGTAGATAGATAAACTTAAAAGTTTTTATCTATATAAATAACAAGGTGCCAGACTACAGGCATATTAAAAGCAGGGACTGGCTTTTATCTTTTTATCTTTTTATCTTTTTATCTTTACCCCCTGCAGGGCAAAGCAGAGTGCCAAGCATAACAGAGGCACTTCATAAATGTTTATTGAATGTGAATGCATAATTGATAACTGAATTGGATTATTTAAAAAGAATGATTCTTTATGGTGCTTAATCACAGTTTTTAAATGCCCCTGTAATTCAATGAATGCTTTCTGAATCTTAAGAATTTACAGAGTTAAATTATTGATAGAGGATATTTCTCTAAATGGCTTTATATCAGAATGATACTTTTAATAGAATAAAGTGAAATGACAGCAGACCCTAAAAATCACTTAAAAGGGATGCCTATAATTTAAAAGGGTGGCTTTGGGAGAATTGGTAAAGGTAAATGTAGAAACACACAGCACTGCTATTTTAAAAGATTTTCATTTTATGGACTACCTTTGAGATAAAATATTTATTTACTGTGGCTCTCGAGGATAGCAAGATAAAATTCAAAATGTGAAATTATAAAGGAAAAGGAAGAAAAGGGTAAGGGAAGAAAATTAACATTTATTGAGTTCTAATTTATAAGGCAAGTGTTGTGCCAGGCATGTAACAAAAGGTAATGCTTAATTCTCCCACAACCTTAGAGTATATTTAGGGTGGAGCAAAAGTAGGTTTATAGTTGTGAGTACACAAAACACTTTAGTCTTATATTATTATTTATTCATTATTATATTATTTTCTATACAAACAACTATAAACTACTTTTGTCCCACCCTGTATATTATTCTACTTTTACAAATGGCAAAAACTGAAATTTGATCAAAGTTATAAAACTAGTAAATTCAGTACTTAGTTTTAAACCCAGGACTCTCTAATTCTAGACACTAGCATGAAAATAACATATAAGAAATCTCAAAATATTTTTCTCTGGATACATTTATTTATTGTCTGTTTGGACATGCACTGACAGGGTACCAAAGTGATACAAGATGAGCTCCCTGCCTCCAAAGCCCTTACATTAGGTTTTTCTTGTGTTTATGTAGATAATGATGTCTCCGCTAACTCCCTAATAATCCTCCCTAATGTTCCCCCTTGTCCCCCATTCCATGAAAATTTCTCCATTTATCTTTTGCTGGCTTTAAATAGATTTATTGAAGAATTTTTTTTATATATATATTTTATTGATTTTTTACAGAGAGGAAGGAAGAGAGATAGATAATTAGAAACATCATCGATCAGCTGCCTCCTGCACAACTCCTACTGGGCATGTGCCTGCAACCCAGGTACATGCCCTTGACCGGAATCGAACCCGGGATCTTTCAGTCCGCAGGCCGACGCTCTACCTACTGAGCCAAACCGGTTTCGGCTATTGAAGAATTTATGTGCTGAAAATATGTCTATTAATATTAATAACAGGGAAGAAGAGTAAGCAGATTAATGAACAATACAATATTTAGATTCCTGTTTTAGAAGATAGTGTTTTATTATGTAACTCCACATTTTGACAAATCAAACTTCAAATCTCCAGAATCTAAGCTCTATCACAGCAATGCACTGAGATTTTAGTAAAGAAAGCTCTGACCAGATCCATATAGTATATTCCTACATTTTTACCTTAGTCTCTTTCTTTAGAACTATTAAAAATAATTCATATTAAACATGATATTATAGCCTTTTATATTAATGTGCATTTACTTAACATCTTTATTTTAGTACTGAATAAACAATTTATTTTTTTTGTTGTATTAAATTAGCTCTGAAAATGTGTTTCCTCAAATAAGAACTTACGAGTCAAAAGACTATTAGAGGGAGAGTTCATAGAAATACATAAAAGTTACCTTTATAAATGTGAATTTGTAAATAAAATATAGTTGTCTTCCTTTCAGATTAAGTGCTTCTCCCATCTTCACTCCTACCCCCATTTCTAATGAAAAGTCTGTTCTATACTCTTTTTTTAAGATTCCCACTAAAAATATCGAAGGTCAGATGACACCCTATTATCCTGTGGGAATGGGAAATGGTACACCTTGTAGTTTGAAACAGAACCGGCCCAGATCAAGTACTGTGATGTACATATGTCATCCTGAATCTAAGCATGAAATTCTTTCAGTAGCCGAAGTTACAACTTGTGAATATGAAGTTGTCATTTTGACACCACTCTTGTGCAATCATCCTAAATATAGGTAGGATGTGGATTTAATATTTTAAACATGAAATGCACATGCTTTAAAGTTGCCATATGCTTAATTTTAATGCTGTATTAATTTTAACAGATTCCGAGCATCTCCTGTGAATGACATATTTTGCCAATCACTGCCAGGATCACCATTTAAGCCCCTCACCCTGAGACAGTTGGAACAGCAGGAAGAAATTCTAAGGGTGCCTTTCAGGAGAAATAAAGAGGTATGAGAATTATCTAACAGTATTTTCTCAGTACTTCCTTTTCCAGATATAGAGTACATACAATAAATTGAGTGTGTTACACATAGCTTTTCTTTTAAAAATTGATATTTGGCCTATGGTTTGTCTTTTAAAAATGGATCAATAAAGATAAATAATTTCTTTCTTTTTAAACAGAAATACACATCTGTCTTTCAGAATTTTGGTTTGATGTTCTGCCTGTTAATATATTATGTTAATTTAGAGATTACTAGACTATTAGGAGTCTATTTTATAAAGCTCTAAACCCTACTACTTGCCCTCCCTCTCCCTTTCTCTCTGAAATCAATAACAAAATATTTTTTAAAAATAATAAACCTATGCCGAGACCGGTTTGGCTCAGTGGATGGAGCGTTGGCCTGCGGACCGAGGGGTCCCGGGTTCAATTCCGGTCAAGGGCATGTACCTGGGTTGCGGGCACATCCCCAGTGGGAAATGTGCAGGAGGCAGCTGATCGATTTTTCTTCTCATCGATGTTTCTGACTACCTATCTCTCTCCCTTCCTCTCTCTAAAAAAATCAATAAAATATATTAAAAAAAAAAAAATAATAATAATAATAATAATAATAATAAACCTGCCCTAACCAGTTTGGCTCAGTGGATAGAGCATCGGCCTGTGGACTGAAGGGTCCCAGGTTCAATTCCGGTCAAGGGCATGTACCTTGGTTGCGGGCACATCCCCAATAGGAGGTGTGCAGGAGGCAGCTGATCGATGTTCCTCTCTCATTGATGTTTCTAACTCTATCCCTCTCCCTTCCGCTCTGTGAAAAATCAATAAAATATATTTTAAAAAATAATAATAATGAAATAATAATAATAATAAACCCTACTATACAAACTACTTCATCTTGCTTTTATTGTAATAATTTTTCTTAAAAATGACAGTAGATTTTCTGTCCACAAGAAGCAATAACAAATGGTCATGCTTTTATTCTTCCTACTTGTCCTTATCTCAGCTGCAGGTCTCACTGTGCAGTATTGTTTTTCTTCACTAACCTTACTGTGGCCTCATGTATTCTAAATAAATAGTTGAGTCTATTAGACCTTAGCTCCTTAGGACTATATTTCATTCTTAATGCTCAGCATTTAGTGCCAGGGGCATAGTAGGTTCTGAATGTGGAAAGAGTCATACATAAAATTCAAGGTCCTTTCAAAAGATAAGAAGCCATTTGCGCAATCTTTGTTCTTCCTTAATATTGAAGGGGAGACAGGATAAGGTCATTAGTTTCTAGAGTAACTGCCCAATGACTTCCAAGCTGAAATAAAAAGAACCACAGTTGTTCAATGGCCCCTCCAGCAGGTGAAAGAAGAGATAGCATGTCTACTGTACATTTACTAGAAACCCTTTTTGTGTTTAATTTTTTTAATTATTTTATTCAATTTTAATTGGTACACTCACTTCTTCAGTTCTGGTCTAGATTCATTTCCTCCTCATTCACCGTCAATACCCAGCTTCTAACTCATTCACCTCGTTCAAAACTATCCTCTCCACCCTTCCTCTTTCACTCCCTTACTTTAAATTCTCTTCATCTCTGGCCTGGGTTCTTGCAGATCCTAAGTTGGCTCCTCACCTCCTGATTTGTTCTTACTCTTCCCTCTTCCCTGCCACTGCTGAAGTAAGTGATTACTTAAAAACCTGATCGCTCCATACCTTTGCCCAAAACCTATAACAGAATGTCCAAACTTCTTGGGATTGTATAGTTTTTCACCATATAGTGCCTGCTTATCTTTCTAGCTTTAAATATCATACCATACCTTCCTCACATCTTTGCTTTACCTCTTAAGTTCACATGTGTATGCACACACAGACACAAAACACACACAGACGTTCACATAAGTCACAAATTATTATTTATGCTTTAAGACTTAGCCAAGGGTTTTCTCTTTGTGAAGTCTTCATGTTCCGATTTGTTGTTAAAGTCTATTGAATTACCCCAGCCTCTGTGAATCTGCTGGTGCCTGCACCCTTATTAGCTGGTGTCTTCCTTGACTAACTTGTAGGTTCCCCCAGCCCCTGCTATAATTGCATAATTATAACTAATATACGTATTTTCTCCCACTCAGTTTCTCTTTACCCTGCTTGTTATTCTTTACCCATAATAATCACATTTTTAAATTTTTTTTTAGTTTAACAGACATTTATTCCTTTATTGAACAACCTCTACACACAAAATAGATGGTTTAAAATAACCACATTTTTTAAAACTAAATGTAGAAACACAAAATCTAACAAGTAGCAAAATACTTTATAAAAGTAATGAGACAAGCCCAGCCAGTGTTGCTCAGTGGTTGAGCATCAACCTATGAACCAGGAGGTCATGGTTTGATTCCCCGTCAGGGCACATGCCCAGGTTGAGGCTTGATCCCCAGTAGTGTGTATACAGGATGCAGCCGATAGATGATTCTCTCTCATCATTGATGTTTCTATCTCCCCTTCCCTTCCTCTCTGAAATCAGTACAAATATTTTTAAAAGATAATAATGATACAAAATGTATGAAATGGAAATTATCCCTGCATGGGAATAATGGTCACCATACCTCTAATGAGTAAATGGAACTAACATTTTTCAAGAATTGCAAAATTCATTTTTTAAAAAACACATTAAAAAATGAATGGATAACTTCTATTTTCCATGTTTTCTACAGTATAAAAATAATAATGTAAGTCATAACTGAAAAAAAACTAAGTGTGGCAAAGAAGCCCTTAAAAATATATGTGTTTAATTTTAGGAAGATTTGCAATCAACTAAAGAAGAGAGATTTCCAGCAGTCCACAAACCCATTGCTGTTGGTTCTCAGCCTATGCTCACTGTTGGAACAACACACATATCCAAACTGACAGATGACCAACTTATAAAAGAGTTCCTTAGTGGTTCTTACTGCTTTCACGGGGTGAGAAGTGAATGTTCCGTTTAAATATTTAGTTTACAGCTTTTGTTTGCATGTCATTTAGTCAAGGGGCATTAGCAACACTGAAAAAGTTTTTGGTCTATATAGAGAAATGGCAACATTCTGGAAGCCTCTCAGTGGACATTTTCTCTCTGCATCTTACTATACTCTAATCCAGAGCCATTATCATTCTCTTTACTCACAAGCTAAAACTTGACCTTTATGTGACAGACAATATATATAACTGAGACACATGTGATTCTGGTTGATCACTGGAATAGGCATCAATGATTGGATAGCAATCACATTTAAAACTTGCCCTGACTGGTTTGGCTCAATGGATAGAGCGTCGGCCTGCAGACTCAAGGGTCCCAGGTTCGATTCCAGTCAAGGGCATGTACCTTGGTTGCAGGCACATCCCCAGTGGGGGGTATGCAGGAGGCAGCTGATCGATGTTTCTCTCTCATCGATGTTTCTAACCCTATCCCTCTCCCTTCCTCTCTGTAAAAAAACAATAAAATATATATATTTTTTTAAGAACTTGAGTTAACATCTACAAAGGTAAAACTTTGCCCCTGACCAATAGCTTCAGTGAGAAATGCACTTACAAGTGGAATTTTCATTTTATTTTATCAAAGCAGTACAGCAGTTGTTCTCTGCATTTGTCTATTTGTCAGTAATTTTTAATTTTCAACCATATTATTGCTATTCCAGGTTTTTTAAATTATATATATATATATATATATTTCTATTACTATTGTGTGGCAATCTTGAGACAGGCCCTAGTCCCCCCTTCTCTATACGTAACTTGATCTTTTTTCTTTTCTGTAGGGTGTTGGTTGGTGGAAATATGAATTCTGCTATGGCAAACATGTCCATCAATACCATGAGGTATAAAATAGCATTTATGCCAATCTTCCACTAGATGTATTAGTTTTAAACATTTTTATGGGGAAACAAACGGGTTGGTGTTACTTTTAATTATGAGATGATTTTAATATAAAAATACTCATTAAACTGTCTAAATTCTAAAAAATGTAAAACTCACTGTTTAACTCAGTCAATCATCATAAAGGAACATTGCTTATTAACTACTCAGATTTTTGTATTACTATGAGCCTGGAAGAAGAATAAGTTAGGGTGGCTAACCTTGTTAGCTTTGACTGAGAAATTAGTCATTGTTATAATTAATCTTTATCTTTTTTTTTCTTTTCAATCCAACTTTCCCTTTTGGGCATCCCTGTGGCCTTTCCTCTCCTCACTAGCTGCTGGCTGCCAACGTTCAAAATCATACTAATTTATTCTATACCTCAGGTAACCTTTGCACTTAGAACCCTAAACTAAGTACCAGATCTGCCATCCCACATTCAAAAATTCATGAAGGTGATCTGCCAAGTTAACAGCTCACTCTTCTGGTCTCCACCCTTTACACCACTGGGACAACCCCTGCTGTCCTTTCACTGGGGTTCCTCCAATACCAGCTTCTGTAAATAAAGAAGAAATTAGTGTTTTGTTTTGTAACTTTTTAAATTTTATTTTTTATTCCCATTGTTTTGTTTATTCATTTTTTTTTTAGATTCCACATATCAGTGAATTCACGTGGTATTTCTCTGTCTGACTTATTTTACTTAGCATAATACCCTCTCCATATTGTCACAAATGACAAGATTTCATTCTTTTTTATCGCTGAAAAATTATACAGCTATAATTCATCTTTAAATTAAGTGAATGGTAAGATAGTACATCATCGATAGTTAGTAAAATAGGGTAAATACAGCAAGTTTCTCAGCCAAAAGAAGGTACCATATCATCTACGTTTAAAATAAAATAAAATTTAAGATTACACAAGTTGGCTTTTTATTCTTCCCTTTATTTATAATTTCATAAATTGGTATATTTTCCCATACTTGAGCTAAGCTGCTTAAATTCAGAAGTTTAGCCCCAGTAATTTTATTTGTCATACATGTACTTTGTTTGGTAAGTTCAACTACTAGATGTTGAAAACACACTAATAAATATTGACCTGGCTGTTTTAAAAGGCTCTTTTTATTTCCAAAAAGAAATAATAACTAGTAATTAGAAAATGTTATATTTGACTTCCTGAGATGTTTTAAGCCAATTTTAAATTCCAAGATGGATCATACCAGGAAAGATCATCAACTCACCTTGCACATTTAAATCATTCCAAATTTATGAGGCATCTATAAACTAGGACTTTTTTTTATTCACTTAAGCCTGAGAAGTTCGATTTCACTATTCTTTCCATTTCTTCTTGCTGCTTTGTAGATGTTTTATTTTTACTAACATTTGTTTATACAGAAAAAAGATAAAGTATATGTTCTATCTATAATCCAGACAATAACCCCATGGCTTTTTTAATTAAAGGCATATATGTATGCCAGAAATTTAGAATGAAAAGTAAAATTCTCTTCCATCATTGTTCCATTCCCCAAAAGTAACTGCTGTTAACTCTTTCTTAGTTAACCCTCCACAAGAAAAAAAAAAAAATGCATATACATAAATGTTGATATAACCTTTTTATTTATACAGAAAAGATGTACTAAGTAGTATCATGGAGATCTTTCCTTATCAGCAACAACTGATCTTTTCAGCAGGTACAGAGGATTAAGTCTGTACCCACATGTATTTAGCCAGACCTATAGTAATGGACCTTTAAGTTACTTTCAGTTTTGCTGTGATAGCATATTAGTGAGCATTTTTAAATAGTTCTATTGGTGAACTTTTTTAAGTATATTCATAGGGCATATTTCTAGCAGTGTACTTACTAGGGCAAAGTATATGCATTCTGAACAATTGCCTTCCTAAGGGTTGGACCAGTTTACATTCCCATTAACAGTGGCTGTTTTCCCATTCACTTGCCTACACTAGTTTTTTATCCTTATTTTGGTCAAGATCATATAACCTGGAACATTCTAAGGGACTCTGCTGGGAGCTTTGGAAAATACAAAAATAATAATAGTTAACAAATGTAGTGCTCTCTATATACTGTATGCCAGGCCCTGTTCTAAGTACTTTACACATAATTATCTCATTTAATGCTCATAATAACCCTTAAGAGGTGAGTATTGTTATTCCAAGATGAGGAAACAAAAACAAAGCTTTAGTAACCTGGCTAAAATCACATAGGAAATAAGTGGTAAAACTAGAATTCAACCCCAGGCAGAATGCTCCATCTCTAACCTCTTAATCCATGTCTGTCTAGGAACTTATAGGTTGCTAAAATAATGTCTAATGGCCCTCTCTGCCACTAGGCAATAAACTCCAGGCCTTTTTCACTTGCCACTGTAAGGGTTTTTAATTCTACTAATCAGGTGTATATTAGTGCCCAGCACAGTGCCTGGTATAAAATAGGAAGAAGGAAAGGAATACAGGAAGGAAGGGGTTCAGGGAAGGAAAAAAGAGAAGGGAGAATAAAGTCCACATATAAGACAACATTAGTGTTTAAAAAAATAATAAGCCCGGCCAGTGTGGCTCAGTAATTGAGCATCAACCCATGAACCAAGCAGTCACAGTTGATTCCCAGTCAGGGCACATGCCTGGGTTGCAGGCTCCATCCCCAGTAAGAGGCGTGCAGGAAGCAGCTAGTCAGTGATTCTTCATTAATGTTTCTATCTCTCTCTCCCTCTTCCTTCCTCTCTGAAATCAATAAAAATATATTTTAAAAAACAATAATAAAAGCAGAATGGGAAAGGGGGTTTCTGAACAGTCTTGATGCAAAAATGAGCTTGGTATCAAATGCATAGTGTGAAGAGTAGTGTCATTTGAAGGTTTGCATTTGAAGGAGTAGTAAATGGAGACAGGCTGAGTGTAGCTGCAGTGTGGTTCTGGGTAAGAGATAGTGGCCAAAGATTTAATTAAGAATCACAGTAGTCTGTGGTCATATCATCTAGGTATGAGAGATTAAACTCTTGGTTGCGGGGAGATGTTGGCAGTGGAAATGTAAAGGAAGAGTCTGAGCTGAGAACATCTCCCAGAAAAAAAATTGACAGGATGATAGATGTAGGAGAAGAAGGAAATTGAAGAGTCAAAAATAGTTATGTCTGAAGCTAGTCTAATTAGAAAGCAGTTTCCTTTTCCAGGGAAACAAGGAATAAAAAAGATAACCAGCTCAAATTTCTAATGGTCAAGTTTGACTAAAACATTATTACCTCTAAATATAGGTATCCAGTGTGCATATGAGCATAGGGACTACAGCTTATAGACCATCAGCATAAATGTCTGCTTGATGATATCAAGCTATCATACATATTTCTTCATATATTAGGACAAGGATAGTGGGAAAACTTCTGTGGTTGTCGGGACATGGAACCAAGAAGAGCATATTGAATGGGCTAAGAAGAACACTGCTAGAGCCTATCACCTTCTAGACGATGGTACCCAGACAGTCAGGTAAAGATTAACTTTTTTTGTCTTTGGATCGATTAGTAGAATATGTAAAACTCAGAATGTTGAAAAACATAACATTTAAACCCTCAAGTAAAATCTCTGATCAGTTTTTTCAGGCACATCTCTTAGGGTAGTTTTTTTGTGTGTAACGGGGAAACAACTTAGTGTAATAGTTAAGGCAAGTCTCTGAGGTCCACTGCCCTGGATTCAAATTTTTAACTGCCTTGGGCAAATTTCATAATTTTCTTAAGCCTCACTTTTCTTATCGATTAGTATTTGCCTTAAGGATTATTGTGACATTTAAATAAGATAATTCAGGCAATAGCATGCAGTAAATTTGGGCTGCTGCCTTTAACCATGCGGGATGCTATGGTAATAAGAGTGGTAGTGGTGGTGTAACAATGGCTCAGACCAAGTGTTAGGTCTGAAGTTGTTACAGAGTATTTGCATCTTTCATGTGTAATGCTTACCTCTTTAAGTTACTTAGGTCTATTTAAATATACTCTAGCATTTCCCTTTGTTATTTAACTTTTGTGACGTAATGGTTGAAAATAGTTAAACAGTGGCTTTTTAAAAATCTACCTCATCTCTTTGGGGCTGATTGGAATATCTTGTTATAGCTGAAGTAAATTAACCTCTTGTTTCCCAATAATAACTAAGCTTTAGCTTTTCTAGTAGTCTATTGCCCAGTGAATTTTAAATTATTCATTTTTTTCCCCCTTCTTGGGTGTTAACTTTGTTCTTCCTACCACAGACAGTACAGAGAGACTGTTTTCAGAATGTGCTGACTTCTTGGGCTAACCAAAACCAAAGTTAGCAAAATTAAGAGATTGGCATTTAAGTATTAGAAAAATTAAACTATACTAAACAGAAGGAATTTTCTTATGTTTGTGTATGTTTCATGTGAAAATAGCTCATGGCAACAAATAATGTCTAATGGCCCTCTCTGAGCAAAGCACAGGAGTGTGAAGCTAGCAGAATTAAAGCTTTCTTTGGATCCTGCTTGTTTGGAGTTTATAGCTTAATCTAGGCTTTATCTTTTCACACCTGCCCTACAGCATCTGAATGGGTGGAGCAGGATGGAGGATGGGAAGAAGGGAAAACTCTTCCCCTAAGCAAACAATTTACAGGACTGGAGAAACGGTTAATTTTAAAAGAACAATGTTTGTAAAAGCAATTAAACCCTAATCATTTGTAGACAGATAAATAATGTGCAAGTTGAAGATCATTCTTACTAAACAAATACAAAGTATCTCAAGTTTATATTCTCTTTATAGAATCTGAAAGACTCTGTGACATAGCCCTAAAAATAGGGATTTTTTAAGAATATTTTATTAGTCAGATTTTTTTTCACTAATGCACAACTGACCCTCTGTCCTCTCTTCCTATACATCACAATTACTCTAAATTAGTGAAATTTTAGTTTAATAAAGCATGTGTGTGTTTCTGATTCAGGATGGTGTCACATTTTTACGGGAATGGAGATATTTGTGATATTACTGACAAACCAAGACAGGTGACTGTAAAACTAAAGTAAGTTGGCCCATCAAATTTTGCTTCATGCCTTTCTCTTTAATCTACTACCTATGGGCAAAAGTTTTCATAAATGTAAAATGTAATTATGAATAATTGTGCTTATTCATAATCATAAGTATTTTATAACAATTATTAAATCATAAATAATAATAAAGTATTATTCAATTCCTTATTGAATTATACAGGTCCACTTATGTGGAATTTTTATAGCTTAAGATGAAAACAATTAAAATTAATTTTGTATGGTTTGGGCAGTACCTTAAAGTACTCTATATTTTAGGTGTAAAGAATCAGATTCTCCTCATGCTGTTACTGTATATATGCTAGAGCCTCACTCCTGTCAGTATATCCTTGGGGTAAGTAAAAATAATAATACTCAGAAACTCAGTTTGGGGCCACATTTTACTTTTTAGCATTAAGTCTAAAAAGACCTTCAGTAGTCTCTAACATTTAATACTACTTCTATAAAAACAGTTATGTTTTTATTGGTGTATAATATACATAAAATTAAATGCAAAGATCTTAAGGGTTGAGTTTGATGAATTTTGACAATTTATATACACAAGTGGGGTCCCTCGGCCTAGCCTGCGGGATCGGGCCAAAACCCACTCTCTGACATCCCCCAAGGGATCCCAGATTGAGAGAGGGTGCAGGCCAGGCTGAGGGACCCCACCAGTGCATGATCGGGGCCAAGGAGGGACATGGAAAGTTGGCCAATGAGGGAGGGACCGCGGGAGGGCTCCAGGGAGGGCTCCCATCTCGCTCAGTCCCTATCGACTGGACACCAGCAGCAAGCTAACCTACTGGTCGGAGCATCTGCCCCCTGGTGGTCAGTGCGTGTCATAGCGAGTGGCTGAGCAGCCTTAGCTTATCAGTAGTATATTACGCTTTGGTTGGTTGAACAGCCGACAGATCGATCAGATACTTAGCATATTAGGCTTTTATTATATAGGCTGTGACTCTTACTCAAAACAAAGTGTCTGTCACTGCAGAAAATTTTCTTATACCCCTTCCCTGTCAATACTCCTGAATCCCCAAAGATACCTCTTTGTAATTTTGGACACTATATATCAGTGTCCATTCTATTTTTTATTTCATATGAATGTAATTATATAGCATACAAACTTTCTTATGCCTGGCTTCTAACTTAGCATCTTTCAGACTCAGCCATGTTGCATGTATCAGCACTTCATTGTCTTTCTATTACTAAATAATATTCTTTTGTATAAGTATACCACATATGCTTATCCATCCATTCTTCTATAGATAGATATTCTTTCTTATTTTTTATTATATGAATAAGGCTCACATAAACATCTTTTTACATCTTTTTGTGGTCATCTGATAACTTTCCTCTGCTGTTTCCCATCCAGCTCTTTGAACGAATTTACTTCTGACATATTTTTATATTTCTATCATTTTCCTTTAACTCTTATGGCTTGCTTTTCTCTGCTAAAATTCCCCATCTATTCAAACATGTTGTTTACCTTTCCCACTATTTTCTCCATCATAATTATCATAATTATCTTAACATCTGGTAATTTCAACACCTGGCCCTTCTTTGGGTACACTTTCCTTTGCCTTCGTGAAGTTCACACTGATTATTTTGTCATAATCTTCTATTTTTGTTGTGTAAAACCTAGTATGTTTAACTACGTATTCCTCTTATTCTTGTCCTTTTTTGTCTCATTTATTTTTTTTTTTAAGAGGGGAAAGGGGAGGGAGAGAGAGAGAGAGAGAGAGAGAGAGAGAGAGAGAGAGAGAGAGAGAGAGAGAAACATCGATTGGATGCCTTCTGCATGTGCGCTGACTGGGGATCAAACCTGCAACCTGGATATGTGCCCTGACTGGGAATCCAACCTGCCACCTTTTGGTGTATGGAAGAACGCTCCAGCCAACTGAGCCACACTGGCCAGGGCTCTCTGTCATCTCTTTTACTTAGAGATAAAAATATCTCCTCTACCTTTTTGGTATTTTATATTGATGACTAAAAATTGTTTTTCAAAAAGCTTTATTTGTAGAAATAACTGGATGGTTTATCCAAAACAAGGGCTTGTATACATTTAACAAATTTATATATGTGTATTCATTCAGCAGAATAATACTGAATAAAGCAAGTATTCATCTTAACAACTTTTTACTGATTTTATTGTTGTTGTTCTTTAGGTTGAATCTCCAGTGATCTGTAAAATCTTAGATACTGCAGATGAAAACGGACTTCTTTCTCTCCCCAACTAAAGGGTAATAAAGTTCAGGGGAAGAAAAGAACACTGAAAGTCTTAATGGTTTCTGACCATGTGTCTCATTATAGAGTTCTCAGCCACTGAACCTCATCTAAAGGATCATATAAAAGGACTCTCAACTACTTTGTGAATATAGAGTGGGGCCTTGACTTATGAGTGTCCCGACTAACGAGTTTTTCGAGATACGAGCTGTCTCTAAGCCGATTTTTTGCTTTGAGTTGCGAGCAAAAATTCAGGTTATGAGCCAGCTTCAGATACCCCACCGCTAGTTGGCACAGCGAATGTCACAGTGAACGCCACAACATCAGCCCAGCATCACGTGTCTCACTCGTTCACTTTATGATTTGACTTACGAGTAATTTGAGTTACGAGCTCCGTCACGGAACGAATTAAACTCGTAAGTCAAGGCCCCACTGTATATGTGTATATAAGAGGTATTGATAAACTTCTAAGGCAGGCATTTGTCTCACATTTTTCATTATTGTTCTGCCTTATGAACTGGTTGTATTTTTCTTTGCTTGGATAATGTGATTCCAAAGTAAATCTCATCCAAGCAGTTTAGACTCCAGCCTAATGAAATGCCATAATTGTACCTATTGAAAGTTTTTAAATAATAGATTTATTATGTAAATTATAGTATATATAACTAATGAAGTCAAGATAATGAAGAAAGAAATTGTTAGGTTGTTTAAATGGGAGACTATGTAAACTGTGTCCTAGTGACTGAAATCCTTTCAACAAATTTTTATTTTGCAACTGCTCTCTGCCCAGCATTGAGCTAAAACTGGGCACATAGTAGAGCCTCACATGTAAGTTTTGGCCTCTGTTAATCCCAAGAAACTTATTTATAATAGGTTGCCCCTCTCTGCATTTATCTGTTTCTTTCTCCTTGATATGAGTGTGTTTCCCTCCAAGTATGTTCCTGGTGTACACAGTCAGTGATTATTCTCTCATGGCGTAGAATGACTCACTCTAACAAAACATACTCTGCTGGCTGTCCTTTGTACTTGCCTACCATGTACCACAGATCTTGTTCTGGACGTTTTACAGCACAATATTTAAAGTGAATAAAATGTCCACAGCAATGTTGTCATATAGTCAATGGCAGATCATTTAGTTTCTTTATTTTCTCCACTACCCTATGACACACAAATTTATCCTGTCGTATTTTAGACATACATATCTAAATAAGGACATAAAAGTGGCCATAAAATACTTTACTTTTCCTCCTTTTCAGTAGTTCCGGTCAAAGATATTTTTGTTTGAGAAAAGGTTAATACATTTGGCTACTGGAAGGCTGTTTGGAGATTTTAGTAGAAAATCGCACACACAGAAAGAGCATGCACTTTAAATACAAACCTAGGCCCAGATATGCCTTAACTTACTAGCTGTGTGATCCTGGGCAGGTCAGTTCACCTCTTTGGGCATCACTTCCTCTTTTGTAGGGAGACTGCTTACTTCATAAGGTGCTTATGTCAGTAGTTAATTTTACTTTATGTCAGAAGCCAAGCCCCAGGACTTGACACCAGGTTCCCAGTAAGTGTTAGCTTCTCTTCTAATAGTGCCCTTGTTTCCTGTTAACATAATAGGATAAGAGACCAAAGCCATTAAAATTAATTTATTTAATAAATCAAAAAATTATATTTGCTATATCAGTGAACTAAGACAAATAAAATTACCCTCACATTTGGATTAATAGTATAGGAGGGGAGGGAGTTAGAATTGTGAAAGGTTAGTGCTAGAAGACACTTTGAGAATAATTAGGCCAAATGCTTTCTCTTGTAAGTGGGGGGGCGGGGGGAGGGAGGGTTGGGGGGAATATCTTAAAAACTGTATTAGAATAGTTTAGCTCAGAAGATCTTAAAAATACATATCATAATTATTTTTAAATAAAACGTTTTTTAAAAAATAAGTCAGCCTTCTGTCTTGGCTAACAGCTTCAACTTCTTTGAGGGGAGAACTAAGCCAGCTATCTCCATATTTCTCATAAGTCTTGGGTCCCTTATCTGTAATCTTTGTAGTTTCATTTGATCTCTAAATTGTTTGCTACTACCTCTACTATGCACCATCCTGCTTTAACATAGTAAGTAGGCTGAATTCCTAATAGACAGGGGAAAGGGTCAGCTATGCTATGCCTACGGCATTTTGAGAAGTCTTTTTCAAAGTGGAGACTCTATTAAGGTGGGTGCTATCTCAGACCTACTAAATCAGATTATTTTGGACAAAGCCTATGAATCTTCATTTTTAATGTGCTTCCTCAGTGATTCTCTATTTTATTTTTTAATATACTTTTATTCCTTTCAGAGAGGAAGGGAGAAAGATAGAAGCATCAATGATAAGAGAGAATCATCGATTGGCTGTCTCCTGCACGCCCCCACACTGGGGATTGAGCCCACAACCTGGGCATGCGCCCTCACCGGAAATCAGAACCATGGCCTCCTGGTTCATAGGTCGATGCTCAACCACCAAGCCATGCAGGCTGGGCTGATTCTCTTTATTTTAAATATATTCTGCAGTGATTAAGAATCACTGACTTAGGAACTTCTAACAATGACATGCATACTAATCCTCCTGATTAGATTTTCAGGGGGAAAACTAGTAGCTCATCTAGTTTGACAAGGAGCCTATATTTGTTTGGTGTTTTGTTTTTGTTTTGTTTTACCTGCTTTTCTTCAAGACGCCACTAGATGGGGCTTGTAGGCCACCTCTAGTTTATATCCTTGTCCTGGATTAAAGAGACTTGGCAACAGAAGACCACAAATTATCTCAGCTAAACTGAATAGCAAGCATTGTGTTCAGTCCCTGGTGCACTCGTTTTTTCAGTCAGTCTGACAGACAAAGAAAGGCCTGACCTGATTTCTGACAATGCTTAAACTTCCTAGAACATAATCAGGCCAAAAAAAAAGAACATAATCAGGCCAAATTATTGACATAAAAGACCTTAGCTAAACAGGAAAATAAAAAACGATAATAAACTTTAACTTTTGAATGAGTGGGATTTGTGATCGGAATTTCAAATGAAAATAAAACATCAGCTGTGCTAGAATCTATTTTTAAACTCTTCCTAGTGTTGGGTGATTTTATTTACCAGTGCTTGCATTTCCATTTGAACATAGAAATAGAAGTCTTTCATATATATGAATGATATATGGTGATATGGCTTTAAATAAATCCATTTCTCAGTTGTTTGGCAAGGGTGGTAAAGAAACCCTGGAGCACTACATACCCACATAAAATTTACATTTAACAAATATTTGCTGAATAAATGCATGAACTTGGTGCTTCTTTCTCACCCACACCTTATAAAGTTTTCCCCAACTACCTCAATTCCCATGGGTTTCCTACCAGTCCTTTTGTTGTTGTTAATCTTCACCCAAGGATATTTTGCTATTGCTAGGGATCAGACCTGCAACTGAGGTATGTGGCCTTGACCAGAATCAAACCCGAGACCCTTCAGTCTGCAGAACATCACTCTATCCATTGAGCCAAACTGGCTAGGGTCCAGTCCTTATTTTCCAGTTTTTGATGTTTGAAGGAAAAAAAAATTATTTTCCTCAGTTTTACAATGGTTGGAAAGTCAAGTCCCTGATTTCTAAGGTCAAGAAAGGGATTGAATCTTTAGTTTCCAGCTCCCTGGGTTGAAAACATTCTGGTTCTGAGGTACTCTGGACTCCTCCGAGAAAGTGTCTAACATGGTGGTCTCTGTGAAGAACACAGTTCCCAGTCATAGCTTTCCTTGGAGCGATATTAATAAAATCACATCTTATAATTTCATTGACATACTTGGTTGCTGAAGCCAAACAAATGAGCAAAAAGCTTTCATTAGCTCTTGCTAATATCAGAGGTGACGTGTGCTGAGCCTGAAGCACTTACACAGATTATGAAACCACTCCTTGTGCCGCAGCCACAGGAGACGGGCACAGAGCACTCTTTGTGAGTTGCTCCACTTTTTACGGTCTCTGGCATCTGAACAAGTGGCCCTTCGCAAAACATCAGGCTTGGCATGGAAATCAGGATTCCCACATGGGGAGTCCATTGAAAGGTCTCCCACTCAGCATGCTCCATGCAGCTGAAGGTTCCCGAAAGTGTCAAAAGGACAAACCTGCACACAACACGGAACACAGGCAAACAAACTGAACCTATCTTGGCACCAGCTACGTGCAGTTTTTAAAAAGCAGAATTATCTGTTTATTGGGCTAGAGCCGTGATCGGCAAACTGCGGCTCTTTGGCCCCTCCAGTGTGGCTCTTCCTAAGCCTTAGGAGTACCCTAATTAAGTTAATAACAATGTACCTACCTATATAGTTTAAAAAATTTGGCTCTCAAAAGAAATTTCAATCATTGTACTGTTAACTAATGAGTTTGCCGACCACTGGGCCAGAGGAAGCAAAGTTCACTAATATCTCCATAAGTAAAGTAATATCTTTACTTTGATAAAATTAATATCAAAGGTACTGGACCTGAAGAGATTGCCTATTAACTACTAGTATCTCTGATGGAAAACCAAATGTCACTAAATCTGCACTTTTATTCAAATTGCCATATACGTTAAAGTAATTGGTATCCTCCCTTCTCGCCCTGCAAGAGCTAGTTACTCCTTTCCTTCTTTAATTCCTGTGTGGTTGCTGAAGAGTGTACCTTCATGTTCTGTGTCCTCAGGCTGCATAAAGCCAAGGAATTCCAGTGAGAATGAAGGCAGGTTGGCTGGCAGCTCCTGGGCAGCCAGGTGGTCCCTTGGGAAAAGCTGCCCTAACTGAGTAAGCAGAAACAGGAGTTGTGTCCTCCCAAATCAAGACCCATGTCCCCTTTCATTAGAGTCCTACTGATCATCATCCTGGGAACACAGAAGGCTTCAACTTCTGTCTCTGAATAGATATTAAAATGTAACTTATACTTACCTGGCAGGGTAGATACCATGATCACGAAGGTGATTTTCCCAGGGCGAGGCTTACCCATTGCACTCCGGATGTGCTGACCCCTGCGATTTCCCCAAATGTGGGAAACTCACCTGTGTAATTTGTGGTGGCGGGGGACTGCGTTCGCGCTCTCCCCTGGAAAAAAAAAATCTAGCTTGAGCGCAGCTGGCATCGTCACAGTTCGTTCAATTCCTGGTCAGGGCCTATGTCCCCAGTGGGGCGTATAGGAGGCAGCCGATCAATGATCCTCTCTCATCATTGATGTTTCTATCTTGCTCTCCCTCTCCTTTCCGCTCTGAAATCAATTTAAATTTTTTTAAATTAACAAGTTAAAAAAATAAAAAAC